TAAAAGATTTAAGGAAAATTTTAAAAATTGGACTAGTGGAAATAAAAATATTGATGAATTGATACAACAAGCACAACTTAATGCTTTTTTTTACGCAAAATGTCTTGAATGGATACCTTTTGAAAATTTTGAAAATGTTACCTATCTTACTAGAGGTGGTTTTAGTAAAATTTACTCGGCTGACTGGCCCGAAGGAAATATTTGGAATTGGGATATTGAAAATCAAGAATGGAAACGAGTTTCAAGGAAAGTTGCATTGAAAAGTTTAATTAATTCATCTAATAATATAAGTAATGATTTTTTAAATGAGGTAATTAAAATAAGTCTTGCTTATTAATATTTGTATTTTAATACATAATTTATTAACAAAATTTCTCTTTTTAATGATTTTAGGTTAAATATTATATTTCAGGTCATTTTCATGCTAGTAATACTGTTATGTGTTTTGGAATAACTCGAAATCCAAATACTAAAGATTATATGATGGTTTTAGAATATTTTGAGGGAGGAAATTTGAGAAATACTTTAGTGGAAGGTTTAAAACTTGATACTAAAATAGTATATTTATGTCATATTATAGATGGACTTTCAGGTATTCATGATGCTGGAAATATTCATAAAGATTTTCATTCGGGCAATATATTACATGATAATAATTATGATGAACTATCAATTAGTGATTTAGGAATGTGTAAACCAGTACTAGATGATAATGAACAAAAAGGAATTTATGGAGTAATACCTTATATGGCGCCCGAAGTTTTACGTGGATATCAATATACAAAAGCAGCAGATATTTACTCATTTGGAATAATAATGAATGAACTTATGTCAGGAGAAATTCCTTATAATGATATTCCTCATGATCATTTTTTGGTCGTTAAAATATGTAAAGGATTTAGACCAAAAATTTCTAAAGATACACCAAAATTAATTGTAGATTTGATTATTAAATGTTGGGATGCTAAAGCAGAAAATAGACCAACTGCTAAAGAATTACGTCAAATATTCATTAAATATGATACAGAAAAGGAAAATGAAAACAGTGAAATTAGTTATCAAATAAAAGAATGTGAAAAAATTAAAGAGAATAAATTAAAAAACAGAACAAATGAAAATCAATCTAAAAATCTTCAAACACACCCACAAGCAATTTATACTAGCAGACTTTTAAATTTTAAAAATCTTCCAGAACCAGTTAATTCAACCGATTATTTATCTTCATTTCAAGGTAAATTTGTATTAAAATTTAATATGAGAATATAATTTATCAATTTATTTATTATTTCCTTTTCCTCTTAATAGAACCCATTTCATCGTCATCAGCAAATCCAAGTAAGTTAGTTCACATTATTAAAGATTATTGTGATTATTATAATAATATTTATTTTCATTTTATTGATAGTCTCTGAATGTTTGGATTGTGAATTAAACGAATTAGGTAAGACATCTATTTTTTAAATATTTGAAATTATTAGTTTAATTTAATTATTGTTTTTTTTTAAAAAAAAAATAGATCTCAATCAAGACGATGATGAATAAATTTTAAGGAGTAAATTTATTTATCGCCCATTGCCTCTAGGAAAAATTACGTAATACCAACCAAAATAAAGGAGAGTGACACGGGTGACAAAAGATAGCGATGACATCGTACGCGTGATGAATAAATTTTTTCAATTTTAAATTCAAAAAATTTTGGTAGTTTTTTTTTGTTATTTATTATTCCATTTTCTTATATAAATTTTTTTTTGATTTCAGTACCTTTATTATTATATTATATTAGCAAATTTTCTTTATAAATTTTTATTTTTATTATACAATGTAGCGACATGACTTTATTTGATCAAAGAAAAATAAAATTTAAACTATAAAATAAATACATCATCATGTTGTATACTAGTATTTATTTTCAAAATTTTTAGTTGTCTATATTATTTTAATATTCTTTGACCAAAATTTTAAATATCAAATTCGTATACACTTCGGATTGATTATATGATATATGGCAATTTCTTGCCGATATCTGTACACTTTTTCTTATTTCGTAAAAACTATATACACATACTGATTCCATACAACAATATCTAATAATCACATCATTTATTAATTTATTTATATTCTATTAAAAAAAAAAATATTTTATAATAAATGAGTTATTGAACATTTTTTATTTACCGAATGCAAGTAATCAAAATATATAAATTTACTGTTGCTTCACATTATATAAAGCATCCAAAGGCCAAGTTCCATTGATAGGAAAAAATGCATTTATACTATGTTACAGTAACAAGAGTTCATGTTTAAAGGGGAGTTAGGACCATGAAGTGTAAAATATATGAAATGTGATTTATATTGGATTTGTTCATTTCTAATATGACATTCGAATTTATAATAAATATTTTTTAACCATAATTGAGTTAATTATGCAAATTTTTTAGTATCTTAATTTTATCATACTTTCAGAATTGTTATTTTTCGTGTAACTGTGAAATATGTTTTTATATGAAAAGTCCTATATAAAATTTACATATACTATTTTATATAATTTTAAAGACCCAATATGGATTTTATATAAATGTGTAAAATATGTAATTCAAACATATTTCATATAGTTTTAAATAAGTATTATTCAATATTATAAATTGTAATTCAGTTTAATATTTTATAGTTAAACTATTTTAAACGAAATACAAGAATCAACATGAAATTATCAATGAATTTCCATTTTGATGTAATACTAATTGATTTTTGGTTTTTTTTTGGATTATTATCATCTTGTTATTTAATAATAATCTGAAATAAGAAATTTTATAAAGGATCTGATAACATCATTAAACTTTTTTACCAAGCTTATTAAATGTTATTTCATCATGATTATGCCAGAAAGTATTCTATAAATTACTAAATTAATTATTCTATTAAGAAAAATTACTACTTTTTATAACTTAATGCAAAAATATAAAATCATTTCCTTTATTCCATGATATTCTTTTATCTTAGTTGCAAGAAATTTTGTAGCCAATGATCCTTTAAATTAATGGGTTAATGATTAATTTTTATTCTTAGATTATGACTATACGCCACATTAATAATCGCTAAACATAACCATTTTTAATCCATTTTAATTCAACGTTTCCAAAAAATGCTTAAAAATTCATACAGACGCTGGTGACAATTTCAACAACAATATTATATAAAGTAAATAAAATTTTTATAACAATCTGCTAAAAAAAGAATTTCATCTTAATCTTTTTTTTACATTAAAAATTACTTTGTCGATGAGTTAAATAAATACTTCATAATTTCATATATAGGATCAACGGACGCAAATAGCAGCTTCATTATGATACTGTATTTGTTATTGGTTATTTCTCCCACTATAAGCACATCTTACTGGTTGAAACACCTCAAGGAGTGACTCGGTTTGATGTTTGGGTTTCAGTATATTGATTGGTAATTTTTGCCATGTATTTGTTGTCATGAAGATTTACACCATCAAGATTTTTTCAAATAAATTTGCTGTGTTATAAATTTAATGCGTAGAGAAATTTGTGGCGCCGTTAATTTAATATACTGTTATTTTTACTATTGATTAGTACTAAATTTCATATAAACTAAACTGAATAATTTAAACTTAAAATATCATAAAACCACATAGGTAAGATTCCAAAAATATTTTTTATTAATAGCTTTAAGCAAGGGTTTTAATAAATTATTTTTATAATTAATTAACTTTATCTTTCAAAAATCAATAATTTTATTATTTATTATTTTTATTTTTATAATTAATTATTTTTTTTATATTTTATTATTTTTACTTTTATTATCTTTTAATAATACTTTTTTTTCAAAATATTTTTAGATATTTTCTTCAGTTAAAGTATAAATAAAAAATATTATAAAATATATTAAAAAAATATAAGATCTCAAATATTCTAATACAATTTTTAAATTGAACCTTTACTAATAAAAAGAATAATTTAAGGTAAATTTAAAAAATAACTTTTGCGATCATTTTTTTTTAAATTTATAAGTCATTTGTCATCCTATCACATATGAAAATAAATATTGTCAGAAAAAATTTTTTGATCAAAAACCTTTTAATATACAGTACTAAAGAAGAATGCACCACTTTAATTTTTTTTCAATATCGAATATGTTATTTATTGATAAATATATATTATTTACATATCAGATATAGTTTTTTACTTCAATCACCGGGAATGATCATTACCGTTGGCCAGAATTATCAAATTTTACCGGCACTATATTTTTATAATGCTGGTCGATCGTCATAATTTCAGTCACCAGTGATCATCACCCCGGTGATAGTTAGAAAAATTCTTACATATAAATATTATTTACAATAAAAAAAATTATAAAAAAATTAGCTAAAAAAATTTTTTATGCATAATTTATTTAAATTGTCTTTTTTTTTTTTAAAAAAAAGGCCAAAAATTTTATAATTATGATACTAAAACTTTTAACATATGAAAATTATTGATCGGATAGCTTAAATTTTATTGATTAATTGAATTTAAAATAAAAATCTGGGCGGCTGGGTCAAAAATGGCAAATTGTGATATGAAAACCGAATTTATAACTTTGGCGTCGCCTTATATTCAATCTTCATTTCCATTTTGTCTCTAAAAAAGATAAATATTTAACCCTTTCTTTTTTTCATAATACGGTATGTTCTTTTGCATAATACAAAATATTTCATTTTTACTATATAAGATCATATTTTTTAATTAATAATTTCTCTATAAAATATAATAAAAAAAAATTATAAAAATTTATTAAAATTATTCGATTTTAATAAGGAATTATTAACTTTAGGATTGCGCACAATCCAGTTAAACCACAATTCTTGACACCAAAGACAAAGAAGTTGAAGGGGTAAAAGTGATTAAAGAGGAAAATCGTAAAGAATTAAAGAAAACTAGTAAGGAATTACGACATTAAATTAAAATACAACTTCAATCTTTAATCTCAGATCTTTATTTATTTAAATCATTTACAAAATTATATGCATCAATATATAAATCAGAGAATCTTTTAACTATAATATTATGTAATTTAAATTCATTTACTTCGTCTTTTAAATGAAATATTTCATTATTCAATTCATCATCAAAAACAATAGCCAAATATTTAACCCTTTCCTTCTTCATAATATATTCCTTTATATAAAATAAAATATTTTCACCTTTAATTGACATTATATTTCCAATTATTAATTTCTTAATAAAAGTATTTTGTGAATTTTTTAGAAATATTTCCAGATCACTTGTTTTAAATAAAAATTTTAAACGTAAATATTCTAATTTAGAAGGAAGAACTTGTCCTAAATTTTGTAATACATTTGAACTTAAAGTATCATAATCTTTTTTAATTTCAATAGTAATATAATTAATAAAATGTTGATTATTTTCAATGAATTGATAAATATTATCATCAGGTATACCCGAATTAAAATATCTAATCTTTGTACAATATTTCATAATTAATTTAAATAACTGTCGTTTCTGCTGTTCATTATATCCGTGACTTATAAGTCCAAATCCAATATTTTCTAAATAATTACTAAACATCTCTATTAGTAATTGCAATGATTCAATGTGTAGTATTTCTTCTAAAAACAAAGATCTCAATTTAAAAGGTTTATTAACCTTAATAATTTGTTTAACAAAATCAGAATTTAAAGATAGACAATAAATAATATGAATAGATTCTAAAACATTCAATTGATCAAAAACCTCTTGTAAATCATTAACTATATACTTAAAATCAACGTTATAAAATATAATTGTATTTAAAGTATTTGAACAATTAGAATCTTTTAATGATAATAGATTATAAAAAGTAAAATCATATGTGATTTTTTTAAGATTATGTTGTGAAATAATTATTTCTGATAAATCTTTTTCAATTAATGAACGATCATGTATAAAAAATTTAAAAAAAATTGATGAGATTGAATTGCAATTAGAATATAAAAATTTAAAAAATTTAATAATATCATTTCTAAATGAAGATTCATCACTAATATATAATCTTAAATTACTGATGTTGCATGTAAAATTTGGATTTTGTAAAATTAAGTCCATATTATCATTAAAATATTTATGATCCGTATCCGTAGGTAGTACAACTTCAAAAGAATTTAAATTTCCTTCATTTTCAATTATCACTTCAATTAAATACCTATAAACTAAGATTTCTAATTTCTCATTGCATTCATCAATTAAAGTAACGACCCATTTACTAGCAGAACGACAAACTCTATATGTATCAAAGTATTTAATAAAACTGGGATAATTGAATAATGTATTTGAAAGTAATAATTTATCATCAATTCCATATTCATTAAATTTTGCTTTGCTATCTTCATTTAAAAAGCTTAAATAAGCTCCAATACAACGATAATGTTGGTTAGGAATTAAAAAAGGATCTTCCCATAATAATGGAATGGCTAGACGACACCATAATCTATTAACAAAAATACATGAATATAATGTTGATAAATCTTTTCTTAAATATTGCATAATTTCATCTGTTAATTCGGGTAAATCCCCTGAAAATACTTTTGAGCATGCCATGTTGGTTAAAGGAAAGGGAGGTTGCTTTCGTTTTCAATAATGAAATAAAATTTATCAATTTTTATAGTTGTACAATTTTCCATAAAAAGGCAACAAAAGAACAAAAAATTACATGTAAATCATTCCTTTTTTTTATTTATAATTCCCGCACCATGGAGTATAAGGCTAAACCTTCTGTCAATCGGTGTAATTCCGTTACAACGTACGAGTCGTACGACAGTGTTATGAGATGTCACAAATGATCTAAATGTCACTAAGAGATAATATTTATTATATCATGTGATCTATAATGCTAGCCAGAATTATTTTAATAACAAACTGCGGCATTTTGGTGTAATCCGGATAGAAACCAAAATCGGTTAAGATTATATATAAGAAAATTTTTTCATCAACAAATAAGTTAGTAGCATTGACATAATATTTTTAATAAATTAGTGATACTTTATTAATTTTAAATAAAATAAAATTTTAATTTCGACTGGCACTATGAACTTTGCCTGAATTATGCCAATTTTTTGAAAATCTGAGGTGTAAAATTTTTGACAATAAGACAATAAGTACATTGTTATAACTAATTAGTTTTGTTATATTTATATACTATTTTGTAGCTTAAAATTAATCAATTCATACCTATCTATTAAAAAAAAAAAATTTTTTTAAATCATGGATCGACAGTAACTTGGGCTAAACATATAATGGCGGTAAATTACAAAAACCCAAGTTTCGTTTAGAGTCTTGACAAAATAATGTCAATTTCGCAAAATTCGGGCCGGCATTACATACGGCCCGAATTACTGCCGATCATCAAATATTATTTTAGCGAGATAGGTTTATATGATTTATTTTAATAAATATTAATCCGGATAAAAACCGCGGTATCCGGATAATTAATTTTTTTTTTTCAGATATCATACCGATTTTAATTTTTGAGTGTTGCCCATCTTGATCACCAAAAGGTAACACTAACATAGGAGTACCAGTATAAAGGGATTCATAAGTACTTCCTGCGCCTCCATGGCTTTCGTATTGGTGTGATTAAGTACAGCGAATTGTGGTGCAAACTTTGTAATATGAATATGTGGATGCATATTATTTAAGATTGGTAAAGTTTGAACTTGTGTTACCATCAGTAAAGTTTAATGTTGGATGGATTCATCTTTTGATGTCTCAGATAATGCCCAAACTACACCATCAACTATTTTATTGTTGATTGCTTCAACAAGTGATTGTAAAATTTTAAAATTTTGGTGTTATTCTCGATAATTGCGTAGAAACGTGTACCAAAAGCTACGTATAAAACTCGTTTGTGTCCATTATAAAATCCGAGAGTTCAGGCGTAAGTGGAGATATTCTTCTGATAATACTGGTCCAATTTCCTATTAATTTGAAGAATGAAGAAAATTGATCTTTTATCATTTTTGTTAAATTTCATATAACAATCCGTCTATCATCCGCCATGGAAGTATCCGTCAGTTTAATAATCCGAAGGATAAATCCTTGAATATCCTCGGATTTTAGTAGATCATTATTCATCTGGCAGATTTAACGTACAGATCATTAATTATTACCTGAACATTTGGTGCTGAAGATTGTGGTAACTTTAAGATAAAAAAAAAGATCATTATTTTTATGAGATAATTTTATCTAGTTTGTTGAACTAATTATAAAATGTAAATTACCTCAAAGTATCAATCAAAGCTAAGGAAACTTTTCGCACTTTTTCCGATACCGATTTTATATTCATTTGGTCCCTTATGTCATTTAATTGACCCGCAAAAGGCTCATAAGCATAAGCTATTTGTAAAGGTTGTATTAAAGTACACCTAAACCTCTCAAAAATGATTCATTTTCTAATGAGATATTACAGCCAAACATCGGATCAGATTTATATGATTTAGGATCCATCACTAAGCAAAAGAGAAAATTTTTTCGTTAAGTGAGTTTTGCTATTAAAAAAAAAGGAATATGGTTATTTATAATTACTTTGCATAGATGCAATAAAACCAACAACAGGTTTATTTAGATTATTAGCAACATCTATGCAAGCTTGATTTGTCAAATGAATAAATCAATATTATTTTCTTTAGTAGCATTCTTAAATTTTTCATAAGTTACGTTGTAGGCTTCCGTAGCTAATCTCATAAGATGTACCAATACTCTATAATCATCGTCATCTTTATGAATATTTATACGTTTACTACTATTTTTGGGAGTCAGGGTCTTAGACCCAATGTGATTTGTTTTAGTCCTGGATATTCTGATGACAGTTCATATTTTCCTGTTGTTAATAATATTGCCTATGAATCGAAAAAATAAATAGGAGAAACTTAGACCGACAATCAAACCATTATCACGTTGTAATGCCACAATTTACCTAGTGAATTTATTAATTGTGGGCGCAGTATTATATTTAGAATTAGTATATAAATTTTTAGTGATTTAAAATTGTACAATGTTACAAATGTTGGGTCCGAAATGACCTTAAACTAAGGGAATATTACGGAGGTTTATGAAATGCCAGATTATTTATTGGTTAATAATTGCAGAGGGTGATACTATATATATTAAGGATTTGCATTGATATAAAAAGGGGTCAATTTCAACTTAGTGAAAAAGAGTTACGAATTTTAAAATTTTAATTTTGGGATTTTATTTTTGAAATATTTAATTATGTTAAACCAAGCATATTGTTGTATTTATTTATATTACTAATAAAGTATTATTTTGTTAAGACTAAGGTGGCAACGTAGTTTACTATGGTCTTAGGTCTTACAACGTATAATAAAAGAAAAACCCTTACGTTGTGGTCTTTCAATCAAAACAGTAGCGACATCTAATATTGGTTTAAGGTGGCTTCTTCCTCCAAGAAAAGAACTGACCAAAATATTTTTAGGCGAACGCTCTATATCAATATTTCTAGGAACATAACCTTGCGTCACGGCATTAACGTGGACTTGATTTAATTTAATAATAGGATGAGTATCGGTAATAACTAATAAGAAAATAAGATTTTTATTAATCATTTTGATGTTTAATTTGATATTGGATATATTGGATCGAATCAATGAAAGTAAAACATCGCTTTATTTATACATATTTTTTATACTAAAATTCAAAATAATTTGTTCGGTCAATCAATATTCCGAATTATTATAATACTTTCCTGTCAAGTAATGATCTTTGCATTTTATGACTAAATAACGTGTGATATGCATAAAATTAACTGTTCAGATAATATTATAATTTTCTCAACAAATTTATCAAAAAATAATATGTATCCCGGGCTACGTCCCGAACCTTTGTATTTATTTTCGCATGTATTAAATAATAAAAAAATTTCTTGGCAAAAACCCGTTAACAAGTTAGCAGGTTGACGAAATAATCTACATATTTTTCCAAGACCGCATGGTCCCGGAAATTTTAAAAATTTGAAACAAGTAGAAACTTAAAAATTTAAATTAAAAACGTTAGTAGGGTTTACGGGTTTACATACTACATACGCCACAAAATATCATATGATCGTAATTTTTTTGATGGGTTAGTTGATGAAATGGTTATTTTCTTTCTTTTATAACAGTTATTTGTTTGAAAAAGTTTAACCAATAAATATTATTTTTACTAATAAAATATTTTTTTTAAAATTAAAAACATGATGAAAATTTTGTGAAAAAATACCAAGAAAATTCTTTATTATTTAGTATATTTTTATTTTTCAATGCATTTGGAATTACTTTATGTTAATAGGAAAATGAAATGGGTAGGGAATGGGATTGGTATGCCATCCCATTAATTTGGGTAGCATGTATATATGTACGAGCCTCAGTATACCAAGAGAAATTGACTAAGTATATTTTCTCTATAAAAAAAAATACTATTTTTTTTATGAAGCCCCAAAACCAGCCAAATAACCAGTTATTAGCGCAGTACCTCTAAATTTAAAACATGATGAAAAATTTCCATCTCCATTTTTATAACCCCGGACTATTGTGCTTACATTATGTAGATTCGTGGTAATTGCAATTTCTTGATCATTCAGATATATACCAAATTGATCTACTTGTATCGGTTCCACATCATATGTTGTCGCTCCGACTGCTATGTCTTCTCCTCCGTATGAAGTACCACTTGAACAGGGAAACAGAAGATATTTATTGTCCCATTTCGTGTACGAGACAGCACACTGTGCTTGTGCAGAGTTCTCTGTATCAAAATAATCAACACAAACTTCATCGCGATTACATTGAATAGTATTTGATGTAAAAGTGCTTGGCAATTCTTCATTTGCGCATATAACCGTCATTGATGACATTGTAGTGCACCAGGAGTTTACAAGTGTACTGTAGTTATGGTCTTTACAGGCGGCAGGTGTTGGAAATCAAAGTTCCATTCTTTGTTGATTCCCCTAGAGGTACTCCTACGACAATAGTTGTGATCGCAATCAAAAAGAAAATACACAATTTAGCAAACATATTCTTTTTATTAGAATGCAAAAGAAAAAGAAAAGGAAATGGAAAGTTTTAAGTTGTTCTTGTAGAAGGATAATATTATGAGAATTTATCTTGAATTTTATAACACAGTCATTCTCTGTATTTATTTTTTTTTTACATGCTAATCACTCCCAAATAATTTTTATTTTGTTTATTTTTTGTCTTACATTATTGATTGATAATGATAAAAAAAGTGCTACATGTAAAAAAAATTTTGCTAAGTGTAATATATGGTCCGCAAATCATCTGTAAAACTGTAAATCTTACCATGAAGCGGCGGTCGCGTTGTTTATGTTTATCGAGTTTTTTTTGTGGTCTGATCACTTGCATAAAATGTCACACCCTTTATCAATGTAACAACACTATTAATATTTGTACTACCGAGGTGGATAATCCCGCGGTAAGATAATCCCGAAATAATTTATCAATCCCGAAAAATATAGGTATATTCCGTCTTTTTTTCCGTAAAAGGCTCATATTCCTGGAATTAATAACCTTATATCTCGGAATTTACCGAATTGTCTACATTTTCCGTGAATGGATCCATTTTTACGGAGTTTTTATTTTATTTTTTTTTTAACAGTAACTGGTAATGCGTTTTTTATTTATGCAGGATAACGATATGATAGCAGAAACTATCTACATAATATAAAAGAACACCTTGAAAGAAATACAAAAAATCATATTTCCCTCAATAACTGAGTTAATCTAGTCCTAAAAAACTAAAAATAAAAAGTAGAAACTAAAATTGTGATTTCTACTAATAATATTTGTGTAAAAGCAATTGCTAATCTAAATTTTATGTATTTTTTTTTGTTTTTTCCTATTTTCCTATGTTTTCTAAATTTTCCTAATTTTCACTTGTTACGATATTGGGATTTCATTTATTAGTATAAGATTGTAAAAAAAAAAAACAAAATAAAACAAAACAAAAAAAATTAAATAAAAAACATTAAGATAAAATTTTTAAATCTAAGCCCTTTATGAATATGTATCCAATATACGAGAACATTGCACTCGCTCGTGTTTATTTTCAACCAAATCTAAGCGTAAATCCAAAAATCTAATCTGAATTTTGCATAATTGTGAGGACAAATTTGTTCATTCACTGTCGGAATCTTCTCTTCGTCCTTGCGTTGCCACTACGCGTATTTGTCTTGCTCTCCGCTTTTCTTTTTTTCTTCTTTGTCCACATTTTTACGGAGTTTTTACAGAAATAACATAAAATTTTATAGGGATTTGCAAATCTGTACAGTACGGTTAATCATTATATTCTGTAAATACACGAATAAAATTTGTGACTCCTCGGATGATGAAGATGAACCGAAGAAAAAGTAAAAAAAGAACAAACACAAAAAGACTGGATAGTCTGCTTTTCCTTCTATTTCCAATTTGACTTTGGCAGATATACTGTAATTTCCTTGTGATTTTTAGAATACTAGGGCGGTGGATTTAAATCACGTGACTTGTTTTTTTTACTTTACGTTACTTCTAATGAAATTATGTGACTTGTGATTAATTTTGGGTTTTTATTTTAAGTTTTAGTTATTTTAAGCCTTACCATTCGGAATAGTTTTTTTGGATTTCATTGATGTTTCTATATTTTGGGTTGGATTTTCTTTTTTTGTTATTTTAGTTATTTTGTTAGCGGGAGTGCATATAAAATTTTTTTTTCCATAGAATACTCGAGTGAGGTTTTATGAAGAGGCGGTTTGTTTTTAGGTTTTATACCTTGAATACCGTTAATTTATGATCTATGTAATTCTTATAATTCACTTACTTTTACTCTGTAATTTATATTGTATTTATTCACTTGTCACCTAAATTTGTACTAGTTCAGTTTTGCAGTGGTTACATTTATTCTTCTAAAACATTTTCATCTGGATCATCGACCTTCTTATCAATAATGTGGTAAAGATTTCTACTAGAAAACCTATGCAATGTCTATCACACATACATCAATAAATTGATTCACACCATAATCTTTGAAAAACTTAATTCCCATTCATCCTCTGAGACTTGGTGAGTCCATTGAACATATGTATATGGACTTTTCTTTAAATCATTAATGTAATTATTTGGTAATAATTGTTTACTTATTATTATTAAACAATAAATGGCTTCACTCATAGTCTTTTAAAAATTTATTTTCTGTATACCTATCTCGTCGTACTGTACACTCCATATATAGATATGAAACTAGTATAAAACTAAGCAACTAGTACAAATTTAGCATGTGACAAGTGATTAACACAAATTTAGTACATAATTAAAAATACATAATCAATATAAAACTAAAATTAATAGATAAAATGTGATTTTTCACTTACAATAACTTTAAATTAAACATTTAAAAAATGTGTTTCAATGAATCTATTTAATAAATTAAATTATATTAATAATAAAATTTTTTTTCTTATAGTAATAATTTATTGATAAATACCTGAAAACCCTCTTGTTATTATATCATCACTTTGTTCATAATAATCGTCAGAATTTTTTGGCTCTGGAAGGTTATTAAAACTAAATAAACTACTACCAGTATAATTAGCTTTTAAATGCATTTTATATGATGAGCTAGTTAAAGGTATATTGTCATTATTGATCTTTTTAATTTGTTTTTGCAATTCTAAAAAATTGTCATACTTAAATTCCCATAATTTATCTCTAATTTCAATGGCTGTTGGTCGATTTAACGAATTTGCATCTAAACATTTTTTAATTAAATGCACAATTGATGGAGATACTTTAATTGTGTTAAACCTTGGTCTGAGTCCTAGACAAATTTTCACTGCTAAATAGTCATCATTAATTAGATCATGATATGGAGGTATTCCAGAAATAACTTCATACATAACTATTCCGCAACTGTAAATATCAGCAGCTTTAGTATAATTTTGTCCTCGTAAAATTTCAGGGGCAATGTAAGGCAAAACACCATATATATTATTTTTTGTATTTTCTGATGGCTTATAATCTGCAGGTTTACATAAACCCATATCTGTTATAAGAATAGTTTCATAATTTTTTAGTATATTACCAGTATGTAAATCTCGATGAATGATTTCATTTCCATGGATATTGTCAAGTCCAGATGCAATATTATACAAATAATTGATTTTAATTTTTAAATCTAATTTATTATTTTCTTTTAAAAAATCCCGTAAGCTTCCATTTACTGCATATTCCAAAACCATCATATAATTCTTTGTCTCTGGATCTTGAGTTATTCCATATAGTTTAATAATAAATGAAGTATTATCGACTTTATTATGTAATGCAATCTGAATAAAAATATAAATAATATATCAATAAAATTAAATTCTCAAAATTCAACAAATAATGAAAAATAAATTATACCTCATTCATAAATTCTAATGTGACATTCTTTGAATTATTTAAACTTTTCAGAGCCACAAACATATTTTGACCTATTCTTTTCCAATTTTGATATTCATCATCCCAAAAACTTATATTTCCATCAATCCAATTTGCTTTGTATACTTTACCAAACCCACCTCTTGCAATATACTCAATATTATATAGTTTATCATAAGGTATCCATTCTAATGCTTTTTTTACATCTTTATGAGATGATAGCTGAGTATCTTGAATAAATTTATCAATATTATAATTACCACTTGTCCAATTATTGAAATTTTGTTGAAAATGCTTTGCATTACATACATAATTACAATTTTTACATTTTTCACTTAAAACTACTATATAATCTTTTGTTATTGGATCTTGAGTTATTCCGTAAAATATATAATCTATTTTAACCTATATAAATTATAAACATAGTATATTAGCAAAAAAATTGAAATTTTATCAAACATTTTAATAAAAAAATAGATCTATTCAGCTGTACCTTATTCATAAATTCCAATGTAATATTTGTTGTATTATTTAATATCCTCAGTTCTACATCCATATTTTGATTTTGTCTTTTCCAATTTTGATTATTACCATCCCAATACAATATATTTCCATCAATCCAATTTGCTTGATATCTGTCTTCTGCGATATATGTAATGTTATAAAATTTATCATAAGGTGTCCATTCTAAGACTTCTTTTATATTTTTATGAGATGTTAGCTGAATATCTTTAATAAATTTATCAATACCATCATTACCACTAGTCCAATTATTGTAATTTTGTTGAAAATGTATTGAATGACATATATAATTACACTTGTTACATTTTTCACCTAAAACCATCATATAATCATTTGTTTTTGGATTCCGTGTTATTCCATGAAAATTAGCAATCTATAAATATTATTTAATAGCAAAAAAATTAAAATTTATCAACAATTTTAATAAAAACAAATTTATCATACCTCACTCATAATTTCTAATTTAATATCTCTTATATTATTTAATTTTTTCAGTATCACAATCATATTTCGATCTTTTCTTTTCCAATTATTATTTATAATATTCCAACCAATTATATTTCCATCAATCCAATTTGCTTGATATCTGTGTTCTGCAATATATGTAATATTATGAAATTTATCATAAGGTATCCATTCTAGCACCTCTTTTACATTATTATGAGATGATAGCTGAATATCTTGAATAAATTTATCAATATCATAATTACTACTAGTCCAATTATTGAAATTTTGTTTACAACGCATTGAATAACATGCATAATTACATTTTTTACATTTTTCACTCAAAACCATCATATAATTTTTTGTTTCTGGATTTTGTGTTATTCCATAAGCAATAGTAATCTATAAATATTACAAATTAGCAAAAAAATTAAAATTTATCAACAAATTTAATAAAAATAAATTTATCATACCTCATTTATAGATTCTAATGCAATATCTTTTGCGTTATTTAATTTTTTCAGTATTATAGTTATATTTTGACCTTTTCTTTTCCAATTCTGATTAATAATATTCCAAGAACATATATTTCCATCAATTCAATTTGCTTTGTATTCATTTTCTGCAATACATTGAATATTACAAAATTTATCATAAGGTATCCATTCTAATGCTTTTTTCGAATTACTATGAGATGATAGTTGAATATCTTGAATAAATTTATCAATATCATAATTATTACTAGTCCAATTATTGAAATTTTGTTGAAAATGTATTGAATAACATGCATAACCACATTTTTTACATTTTTTACATAAAACTATCATATAATCTTTTGTTTCTGGATTCTGAGTTATTCCATAAGCTATAGAAATCTAAAATATTATATTAGTCAAATATTAAATTTATCAAAAATTTTAATAAAAATATATTTATTATACCTCATTTATTAATATTAATTCAATATCTTTTGCATTATTTAATTTCTTTAATACCACAATTATATTTTGAATTCTTTTCCAATTCTTATTTTTACTATCCCAATCAAATATATTTCCATCAATCCATTTTGCTTTATACTCATTCTCCGCAATATATGTAATATCATAGAATTTATCATAAGGTATCCATTCTAATACTTTTTCCAAATAATAATGAGATGATAACTGAATATCCTGGATAAATTTATCAATATCATCATTATCACTAGTCCAATTATTGAAATTTTGTAGAAAATATATTGAATAACATATAAAGTTACAAATTTTACATTTATGATTATCCAAAACAGTCATATAATCTTTTGTTTCTGGATTCTGTGTTATTCCATAAACAGTAGCAATCTATAAATATTATACATTGGTAAAAAATTAAACCTTATCAAAAAAAAATTTAATAAAAATATATCATACCTCACTTATACTAAATTTAACATTTTTTAGATTATTCAATTTTTTCAATACTATAATCATATTTTGACCTTCTCTTTTCCAATTCTTATTATTAAAATCCCAGTTAATTATATTTCCATCGCTCCAATTTGCTTTATAGTACTCATTTTTTGCAATATATTCAACATCATAAAATTTATCATAAGGTATCCATTCTAATGCTTCTTTTACATTATCATGAAATGATAGCTGAATATCTTGAATAAATTTATCTATATCATTATTACCACTAGTCCAATTATCGAAATTTAGTTGAAAATGAATTAAACTACATATATTATTATAATTACACTTATTACATTTTTCACCTAAAACCATCATGTAATTCTTTGTTTCTGGATTTTGAGTTATTCCATAAAATATATAATCTGCATTAATCTACAAATATAGGATAATAATACATTAGCAATAAATTAAAGCTTATCAAAAATATTAATAAAAAATAATTTCATCATACATCACTTATGAATTTAACATTTATTTTTGGATTGTTTAATTTTTTCAATACTACAATCATATTTTGATTTTCTTTTTTCATATTTTGATTATGAACATCCCAATAAGATATATTTCCATCACTCCAATTTGCTTTATACTCACATTCTGCAATATATATAATATTATTAAAATTATTGTAAGGTATCCATTCTAATGCTTCTTTTACATTATTATGAGATGATAGTTGGGTATTTTGAATAAATTTATCAATATCATCATTACCACTAGTCCAATTATTAAACTTCTGTTGAAAATATATTGAATAACATGATTTAGAATTACACTCATTACATTTTTCACATAGAACCATCATATAATTTTTTGTTTTTGGATTTTGGGTTATTCCATAAAATATATAATTTGCTTTAATCTATAAATTCAATATATTAATAAGAAATTAAAATTCAATAAAATCTAATAAAAATAAATTTATCATACCTCATTTTTAAATTCTATTGTGATATCTTTTGTATTATCTAATTTTTTCAATATCACAATCATATTTTGATTTACTCTATTCCAATTTTCATTTTTAATATCCCAATAATTTGTTATACTTCCATCAATCCATTTCGCTTTATAACCATTTTCTACAATATAAATATCATAAAATTTATCATAAGGTATCCATTCTAATGCTTCCAACACATCATTATGAGATGATAACTGAGTGTCTTGAATAAATTTATCAATATCAACATTGTCACTAGTCCAATTATTGAAATTTTGTTGAAAAAGCACTGAACTACATTTATAATTACACATTTTACATTTATTATTCAGATTATTCAGAACTATCATATAATCTTTTGTTTCTGGATTCTGCGTTATTCCATAAACAACAGCAAGCTAAAAATATTATGTATTAGTAAAAATTAAATTTACTAAAAATTTTAATAAAAAATAAATAAATTTGCTACATATCGCCGGTGTTATGTGATTTCTAATTTGACACACTGCGTCACACCTCTTTGTTTCCGTTTTTACTATGTATTCTTGGGACATTTTTTTAGTATGAGAAATCCATCTTATTAGTCACATATAATTTCAGCCAAATTTTATAATTCCGGCCACAAAGTGGTAAAAATGGTTTTCATAGTCCGGCCGGGTCAGTTTTTGTTAGGTCTTAAAAAAAATTTTTTATATTGTTACTATGCCGGGTGAGAATTTTTTAAAAATTGAAAAAAAATTTCACATATAAAATTTTTGAAAAAAAAAATTAAAAGCCGGGTTGCCGGGTTATTGATGAAATTTTTATATTATGAAAACCATAAAATCAAGTTTGTATGGCCTAATTGAAAACGTTACACAAGATTCCAGAAAAAGAATTTTATGTCGATCACTTAATTCCGGCCAATTTAAAAATCACGTGACATGGCGATAAGCAAACTCCAAAAATAAATATATCATACCTCATTCGTAAATTCTAATTTAATATCTTTTGTATTATTTAATTTTTTCAATTCTACATTAATTATATCTTGATCATTTCTTTCCCAACTTTTATTTTTACTATCCCAATCAATTATATTTCCACCAATCCAATTTGCCTGATACCAGTCTTTTGCAATATGTTCAATATTATAAAATTGATCATAAGATATCCATTCTAATGCTTTACTTACATCATTATGAGCTGATAACTGGGTATATTTAATAAAATTGTCAATGTCAACATTACCACTGGTCCAATTTTCGAAATCTCGTTGAAAATGTCTTGTGTAACATATACGATTACATACTTTACATATTTTATATGACGACTTATTTTTTTTCTTTTTATCCATTTAAGTTGTAGTTGGATTCAGATTAATAGGAAAAAAAAATACAACCAAAAAAAAATTACTTCAGTTAGCTTATTTATATCTGTTACGTAGACTATGCTTATGTTACTTACATATTCTGTGTCCGACTACTCGACTGATGCATTTAATTTGTTTCACAAATATTACAAATAAAGGTTAGAATTTCGGTAAATTATTATTTAGTAAACCTTAACTGTTAAGGGTAACAACGCAATATAATATTCTTTCTACCACTGTGGACGTAAATTGGTCCAATTTAGGGTAAATTAAAATTGTAATGATAGGTAATCGTGTAATTTTGGTCAAAATTACCTCTCAAACTATTATTATTATACAATATTGAAATTATAACATGTAATTTTATGTTACTAATACATATAAGTACAGTAATATTTAATTTTAAAATTTTTGACTTTCAAATTTAACAAAAAATTTACAAAACTAAATAAATATAAGCAATATTCCTAAAAAAAATAATCTTAAAGAATTAAGAGAATTAATTAAAAATTAATTAGAACCGTAAAAAAGATTTCTAAGCCAACAATTGTGGTATGAAACATGCTTATGTTCCGTGTGAACAATGTAAATTGTAAATTGTAATATTTAATATATCATGTGTTTTTTATCTTTAATAATCATCTTATAATTGAAACAATTAAAAAAAAATATTTTTAATATCAAGTTGTTACTGAACTTTATCTATATTTATTTTTCTATCTCATCTATCCACTTGTCTTTAATAATAAAATTTGAATTTGCTTTATCAGATTTTATTGGTTTTTTCTCTTTTCTTCTGTTATTATCTCTTATTATGCCGTTGTCTTTTTGTGTCAAACTATGCAATACAAGTGTGCAATGTTTAAAACATAATTACACAAAGGCAAACCGCAACCATTTACTGCACCCCCTATGCACATCACCAAGTCACACTAAAAGCGATCTCCGCTAAGCCACCGTGATCAACATTCCAATACCCCCGAGTTCCCCAATAATACCAGAATGAAATCTAGGAAATTTCATAATATAAGTAATGGGAAAAAATGAATCGTCTAACAAAACTTCTAAGTTCTAACCACCAACCACCTACTATAACTTTCTACTACAATATGTAACTTATAGCGAAGCCCATTTTTTTTTTTTTATTAAAGTATCAAAAAATAACTTTTTTTTTTTTTTGTAATATACGTTTTTAAAATAACAATGTGCTTAACTTTTTTGTTTGTTATCTTTATTCATATAATGATTCATAAAATATTCTAAATAATATTCCAAAAAGGAAAACTATTACAGTATATATACCACGTTTAATAAAAAAAAAAGATAAAATAAAAAAAAATAAAAAGAACTTATTTTTATAGTTAGTTAAACTTTATAATCTATCTCGCTTATAAATCGTACAACATTAAATAAGTGTTATGGATTTTTCCATACGGAAATATTTTCTTATTGTTGTGTCTTTATTCTAATCAATATCGGTGTTTCATATTGATTGATAAAACTACCATCAACCATGTCTCCAAATCTTAGCGGTTCTGATGAATTATGTTTATATGCTTCAATCAAATCCATTCTGTAATTATCTAGCCCATTCAATTTTGTAGTAGCCTCTTCTACTAAATCAAAAACATCCTACCCATTAAATACTATTTTTATAGCGTTTTCATTAAATTTCACCCAAATTTTTTTCGTACCAGTATTTCTTGTTGAAACTTGCCCGTTAACGTTAATTAAATGTTCTTTAATCCGATTTAACCTTAATTCAAAATTTCCCGACTTTTCTAATCCAATTACATTCTCAATTTCTGTTAACCGAGTTTCTAGATTTTCCTTAAAATCTTCGAAAGTTTGATTATTTGAAATTTCATTTTCTCTTTGTTTAAAATAATGAAATATAAACGGAATTAGCTCATGTTTCTTCTGAAACAGTATTTCCCTATCTTTATAATATGCCTCTGAATGCTTAATAAAGGTAGGTATTAATCCTTGGTTTCTGCTCTTATTTCTTAATCTTGATTCCAAAATTTCAAATTTTTGCGTTCTGCCATTTAAAAGATATTCTGCAATAAATTCTTCGCAAAGTACTTTATTCTCTTGAGATATTGGTTCTGGGTTAAAATGATCATTATAAATGATTTTTCTGGTGAATACTATAGTAAGTACCTGTATTAGTTCAGGTAATTTTTTAAATCCACTACTCATTTTTTTCACAATTTTTAAGAAATACTTCCATTTAAAAAAATTTTTCACAGACATTTTTAACTTATTTTTTGTACAACATGCGTACATACGCACTTAAAACTTGTGATACGTAAGTTCATTTTTTATTATAATTGACCAATCTAGAATTCATGTGATTTTACGTCACTTTTTCCAAACAAAATCATACTAAACAATTACAGTAGAAATCTAATTACTTTCTAATATCAAATTCTATTCACAGATAAATTTGGTGGACTTTGTAGCAAGATCTTAATAATAAATTTTTCATTGATAAATATATCATTCGTCCTATATTAGTATTTGAACATACAAGGAATTTATTATTTGTAGTATAACTACTTAAAAAAAGGACTGAAAGTGCAAAATGGGTGATAGTGAATTTGATAAATCATCAGAGGATCGTGTTTAAGTAATAATCTAGTAATATCTAAGCCTTTATCATCATCCTTTGAAAATAAATAGAAAGATATATTCAATTAAAATAAAATAATATTTATAAATAGTAGTTACATTTAGATATGGCAGACATTACTATGTCAAAAGTTTGCTAACCTGCAACAGACCCTTGTGGTTTTCAACAGGAGGTCCGCCATTTTGCAGCACACCCCTGCTATTCTCAGAAGGATCAGCACAAAACTGCCTTTTGTGAAATTTATTATATTTATTTCCTAAAAAACTAGACCTATCCACACTGCATGGCAAATTAAATATAAGTGTGTTTATTATTACCCTCATCCTCGGCGCAACGCGACGGGTTACGCCTAGTACTTTTATAAAAATATATTCAACGTTTTCAGTAATAATTTTTATGGTTTATATTTATTGTATTATAATTTTTTTTATTTAAGTTACAAATTTAGATTCATGTTATATTATGGTGAATAAATTGAGAATTACTAAAAAAAAAAAAAAAATACAATTATTCATACGATTCTTGTTTGAAACCTTTATATGGTTAATATTCTAATCCTATTTACTTAATACTACCCAAAAAATGATAGAGAAAACTGTACGTTATGTCATTTCATAGGTATTTCACGTGCATAAAAAAACTTTTAATTCGAAATCAATTAATTATATAAATATTGTTCTTAATTATATAAAAAATATTGAATTTAGTATTTCGATTTTAAGTAATGGATACTATTTTGCTTAATAACAATACATTATAACTAACTTCCACAAATTCGTACTCAGTTAATTAATTCAATACGCCACTAAAAATATTTATAACAATTGTAAGCAAAAAAAGATAAAAACAAAAATTTCATTTAGCAAATTAATTGCATATTAAATTAAAAATTCGTACCCTATTATTTTTTTCACTTCCATCTCCATAACAAGAAACTTCTTGAGATCTATCACCTAATAAAACGGAATGACTGTAAAGTGCTTGTTTATTAGTACTAATATGAAAAAGACCAATAATATCACCACTCATCAAATGACCGGTATCATATGAAGTGGTTGAATTATAACGTCGAACAAGCCAATCATCATCACTACCTCTATCTGAACACAAGGTCACTAAATATAGAAATAATAGAATTCCGAATTGATTAAACTTGAATAAAAGACAAGCATAAATCACACAAATTAACATAAAAATAACCTTGTTGTTGTTGTGATATTGGTGTAACTCTCTCATAACTAGTATCATGAGAATTTAAATAACAACCTGTTGCTTGATGTTTAAAACTAATAATATTATTAAGAGATATAAGATCCCCTTCATTTATATTTTTACCACTAGCTCCAATTACAGTCCAAACATCATTTTCCAAATTTATTTCTTGACCACTACAAATAACCTTTATAAAATTATATAGTAAATAAATTTTATGCTGTTAAATTTTTTCTAACATTGAAAAAAAAATTATTGCATACCATATATTGCTCATTATTGGGCCCCAAATCATATTTGATTCCTTTAGTAGACAAATATTTTCTAGTAGAAACGTGTACAAAGGCGATTTTTGACCCATAGACAATTGGTTTCTTCTGCGATTCATTCTTAATATGAAGATAAAAAAGAATTATTGAGTAGTTGCGAAACTTATAATATGAAATTAACAATATCTTACGAAAAAATCTTCCATCACTTCTTCAGCAGATAAACGCCAGTTGAAATAACGAAAATTGCTTTTGTATAAATTATATTTAATATTTTCATTAATTATATTTTAAACTTTACTACAATTCATATCATACCTAATTTCACCATTAAATCCTTTATAGCTGAAAGAACGCCCAACATACAATGGTCCGTCATTAAAGACAACATTTTGTTCTTTAACCTTTAGAATGGAACAGAATTCGAACCATTCACCATCTATATAGATATCTAATCTTTTTTCGGGATCAGAAAGTGTATAAGCTATGTGGTACCATTTGTTTAATAAAAGTCCATTATCAGGCTCATGGATTCCAGCATCAGTACTCCAGTTGCCCGAGAATCGAGCAAAAAATCCGGATTTATCTTTTGTCAACCAAAGACTGGGTGTACGGATCACATCTTTGGCACCTAACATATTTATATTTATTTTATTATCAGAGAAAATGTCAGTTAAAATTATTCAAAACCAACCATAATCTTGTTAGCGAATATTATAATTAACCCTGCCTTTATGAAAAATTGCAGCCCAACTAGAACCATGATTGTGAATTTTTAGTCGTAATGTTACTGAAAGCTTATCCTTCACTGCAGGCAAGTCAGCATGCTCAAAAACCTGTTGATCTTGTTCTCTCATAGAAATAGGTCCTGAAATAATTTCAGCCCATTCTTTAACAGCAAATTTCGGCATTTACCAAAAAAAAAAAAAAATTATAAAAATTATAAATTATTGAATAAATATTTCATATATAATAGAAATAGACAAATTTAAAGATTAATAAAATACAATTTTTTAAGTAATAGATTTTGTATATGAATTTCAAGGAAACAATTTTCATAAAATGCGGCTATGAACCATACGTGCCAATCATGCATTATTATAGCCTCATGTTTGTGCGTTTGTGCGTTGAAGATCTTACGATATTAGTAAGTTTCACAAAGGCTGAAAATTGCAGTCGATACACAGGAATATAATCAATCTATAGATAATGTCTCGACTTTTTCTCAAGCACTTTAACAAATTTTTCATTCTGTTTCAATCTTTTATTGTATAAGTTTTCCATATTTTAGGACCCTTTCTAATTTTTTTTTCTTTTTTGAGCTTCCAGATAATTCTGTTCCTGTTTTCGAAATAGGTATATATTAATTGTCGATCAACAGAAAATGTTAACTTGTTAAAATTGAGAAGTCTAATCTGAGAACTAAAAATAATTTTGTGTTAAAGAAACAAAATTTGGCAAAGGAAGTTGGAAAAAATACAATTCTATGTCAGAAGTTAGATTACAATAAAGGATATGATTTGTACGTTCTTACAAAATCAGAAAAAAAACTAAATGAACGAATAAGGAAACTGAAAAAAATTTTATATAATAAAATAAAAGAAAGGAATGTGGTGAAAAAAAGAATAGTTAATATGACTGTATTTGAAACATAACAAAATTATATTTTAAGGTGAATAACTAAATGAAGCTTATAAAAGAAATAAATTATAGTATTTAAATTGATATCTTGTTAAGAAGTAATCGCATCAGACCAACTAATTTTATTCAGTTAGAAAAAAAAAAATAAAATAAAATTAGTTTATATTATTTTTAATTTTCAATCGATAAATATATCTACAAAAGTTCACTTTATATTAACTTTTCTAATTATCTAATAGTACATCTCGATTTTTTTTATTAAATATTTTTTATACTTATTTGTCTATTTATTTATTTATTTATTTTAACTTCTAGCCAAATAAATAATTTATCGTAACACCCAGTTACTAAAATAAATGAAATTCAAGTTTTATTAATAACCAAATTATAAATAAAATTAATCTATCTGACAAAGTTACTAAACATTGTTCTTATCACAATAAACCATTTTGTCAAACTTTTACAGTGTAAAGAAAGTATGGACCAAGATATTGATAAATTTTTTTGGTTATGGCTTTATTGAATTGTGTACCATTCGAAAGTTTTGAAGATATAAAACAAATTTATAAAAGTGATTTTAACAGTGTATTAACAAATATTATAATAGAGTAGAAAAAAATAGAACGCGAATCTATGAATTTTAAATGGGTCACCGAATATATTATCTTAGTATTTAATGTAGGAAAATGTGTTGAGTATTCTTTTAAATAATTTTATCAATTAAACCTTAACAATTATATTTACCGTAAACCATTATTCTTATTCGCGACATATTTTGGTAAAAATAATTTAAAATTTATTAAGAAAACATTACTCTTGCCTAAACATCTTAATACTAGCGCTAGTTACATTGATACTAACCAAAAAATGTTTCTTTAGCTTGACAGCAAGTTACATATACGAATGGAAATTTTGAGTATTTTGAGATCAGATAATTGATGATTTTAAAAATATATTGATCTTAAAATTAAATGCTCGATATAATATTCTTCAAATGACTTAAATGACTTAATAATTTATTAAGTATTATATTTGCTTAATAACTCAATACTCAGTTAATTAATTCAATTCGCCACTAAAACCAAATATTATATAACAAATAGAATATTAATTTAAATTAAAAAATAATTTCATATAGAATTATAGAATTGAATATTTATACCTTATTATTATTTTCACTTCCATCTCCATAACAAGAAACTTCTTGAGATTCATCGCCTAATAAAACGGTATGACTGTAAAGTGCTTGCTTATTGGTATTAATATGGAAAAGACAAATGATATCACCATTCATTAAATGACCGGTATCATATGAAGTGATAGAATTATAACGTCTAATGAGCCAATTATCATCCATACATCTATCTGAACACAAGGTTACTAAAATATAAAAATTTTAAATGGTTTAAACTTGAATATGAAAGGTAAAGCATTTAATATTATATATTGTACAATATGCATTAACTATAAGTACCTTGTTGTAGTTTTGATATTGGCGTAACTCTCTCATAACTAGTATTATGAGAATGTAAATAACAACCTGTTTCTTGATGTCTAAATCCAATAATATTATTAAGAGATATAAGATCCCCTTCATTTATACTTTTACCATTAGCTCCAATTACTGTCCAAACATCATTTTTCAAATCTATTTCCTGACCACTACAAATAACCTTTATAAATTTTATAATTAGGTATTTATGATGTCAAATTTTTTTTAATTTTACTATAAAATAAAAAATATTACAGAATACCATATAGTGCTTATTTTTTGGAGCAAAATCGTATTTAACTCCTTTAGTAGATAAATATTTTCTAGTAGATACATGTACGAGGGCAATTTTTGACCCGCATACAATTGGCTTCTTCTGAGATTCATTCTTTTTTTTATAAAAGTAAAAAAGAATTATTGAGCAATTATAAAACTAATGATGATATGAAATTAAAAAATATCTTACGAAAAAGTCTTCCTTCACTTCCTCAGCAGATAAACGCCAGTTGAAATAACGAAAATTGCTATATTTGTATAAAAGGTTCCATTTAACATTTTTATAATTTACATTAATTTTAACTAAAATTTTTAATTATACCTAATTTCGCCAATAAACCCATAGTAATTGTGAGCGCATCCAATATGCAATGGTCCATCATTAAAAATAACTCTTTGGTCTTTAACTATTGGAATAGAATAAAATCCAATCCATTCACCATCTACATAGATATCTAATCTTTTTTCAAGATCAGAAAGTGTGTAAGCTATATGGTGCCATTTGTCTAATATAAGTCCATCACCAATCTCTGAAAATCCTACATAATTACTCCAGTTGCCTTTGAATCGAGGAGTTAATGCGGAATTGTTTTTCGTCAACCAAAGGCTAGGGGTACAATCTGATGATTCCGCACCTGAATATATTTATATTTTATTCAATGATCTGAAAAGATACTAGTCAAATTATTCATCATAGCTTCATTGATAATAAACACTACCTTTATGAAAAATTGTAGCCCAATTAGAACGATGTTTATTAATTTTCAATCGTAATGTTATTGACAACTTATCATTTACTGAAGGCAAATCAGCATGCTCAAAGATTCGTTTATCTTGTTCTCCCATGGAAATAGGATCTGAAATAAGTTCAGCCCACTCTCTAACGGCGAATTTTGGCATCTTTTCTAAAAAATAAATAAATAAACAAATATTGAAGCATTTCATTCATGATAAAAATAAATAAATTGAATAATCAATAATAAAGTGCAATATTTAAGTATCATATTTTACATACGAGTATCATTACCATGAAAAAAGAAAAAAATTAACTTTGTTAAAATGCTATGAGCCAACCTTATATATTTTAGTTTTGTGTTTGTGTATGTTTGTTGATCTTACAATATTAGCAAGTTTCACAAGGGCTAAAATTTACATGCGGATACCGTACACAAAATCATCTTTCTAGATAAACTAATAAAAAAAAAAATAATAGTTATCATGAAATTTAAACTTACCAAAATTAGAATTAGAACTCTAACCTGAGAGCAAAAATTAATCTTTATAATTTAGACAAATTTGGTAAAAGAAGTTGAAAAAATATGATACTACGTCAGATTAAAGTAAAGGAAAATATTTGCAAATCAAAAAAAATTATGCTTCATGAATGAATAGCAAAATTGTTGGAATATCAATTAAAACTCCTTTAACGTTGAATTACTAAAAGAAATAAATTATGGGTAACTTCAAAAAGTGAATTAAATCTTATATAATATTATAAGACATTTAGACCAATTAATTTTAAGTATTTAGTTTAGCTATATCATAACTACGGAACAAGTATAATCATGTGCGGCGGCAAGTATTACAAGGTATAAAATTATGTCAATATTTCATAATAACTCAAAAAATTGATTATACTTGTCCAATTTAAAAATCCATTTCGTAAACTCATACATTTTGTAAAATTTTTTAGTTTTTTGTATTTTTTAACTGAAATATATTTAATATGTTTTACATGTAAAAGTTCACATTATATTAACTTTTTTTAGTATATTACTTTATATATATAATTTTATATTTATTTAATTAATTGTTATTTAAAAGTTAAAACACGATCGTAAAATGTAAATAAAAATTAAAACACTTTTGAAGTATGAATTTTTGTACAACAAAAAACCAATATTAAGTATTATGTTCATATTATAAAGAACAAATTTTCATTTTTATATTATATTATTAAATTTTAATAACAAAAATAAAAATAAAAATAAAAATAAATGAGACTCAAGTTCTAATAGTAACCAAATTAATAAATTAAATAAGTACTGTAAAATGAATTTTCTTGACAAAAATACTAATCATAAAAATTCTTCACAATAAAATATTTTACTAAGGAACTAGGTTAATTAGGTTGCAAAGAAAGTATGAACCAATGAAAAAAACATGATATACTGGGTAAGTTTATCTGGTTATGGTTTATTAAATGAATACTATTCATATAAGTTGGCAAAGTGATTCGGTCAAATGTATTCTGCAATATAGATTGATGGTAGAGCAAAATATTATAAAAAAGACGGAAGTTGAAAAAAAGGACAACCTATGTATATTAATTTCTGCCGTAAGCATTAAATTTAATTTCTTGGTTTTTAATGTAGGAAAAATGTGAGAGTATTGAGTATTTTTCAAATAATTTTATCAAGTACCCCTTGAAGTATATATTTATCACTTTTTTATGGTATATTTCGGTATAAACTAACTTTATTCATAAATCATTATTTTTTGCAATATTTATAAGAAACCTTTATTATAAAAATCCTATTTATAAATATTTGATACTGCTCAAAAAATGACATTGAAAAAATTGTATTTAACTTGTAGTAGTTACGTCAAGTCATAGATAAAATTTAGTATTTGAGAAGTAGATAATTTAAATAGTTACTGTATGATCTTAAAATAATAAATAATATGGAAAATATTGTATTGAGCATTTGATTTAGGAAATTAACATTATTTTACTTAATTGACTTAATATTACAAGTTTACAAAGTTTACAACTAATTTCATACTCAGTTAATTAATTCAATACGCCACTAAAATCCATAAAATCATTAATAACAGATAAGTAAGCAAAAAAAAAATTTAAAACTAGAAAACAATTTCATTTGGAATTAAATAATATTTGTAACTTGTTATTTTTTTCACTACCGTCTCCGTAGCAAGAAACTTCTTGAGATTCATCACCTAATAAAACGGCATGGCTATAAAGCGCTGACTTATTAGTATTGATATGGAAAAGATCGATGATATCACCACTCATTAAATGACCAGTATCATATGAAGTGGTTAAATTATAACGTCTAATAAGCCAATCATCATCAAAACTTCTATCTGAACACATAGTCACTAAATTATAAAATTCTAAATTGTTTAAAATTTGAATACAAAAGTTAAACAAATAATACGTATATTAACACAAAAAATACCTTGTTGTTGTTTTGATATTGGTGTGACTCTCTCATGATTATTAGTATCATGAGAATGTAAGTAACATCCTGTTGCTTGATGTTTAAATCCAATAATATTATTAAGAGATACAAGATCTCCTTCATTAATACCTTTATCATTGGCTCCAATTACAATCCAAACATCATTTTTCAGATCTATTTCTTGACCATTACAAATAACCTTTATAAATTTTATGAATAAATTTTTTACAATATTAAATTCTTTTAATTCTTTTAATATAAGGAATAACGTCAAAAAAATAAAAAATAAATACCATATATTGTTTGTTTTGTGAACCCAAATCATATTTAATTCTCTTAGTAGATAAATATTTTTCAGTAGATACATGTATAAGAGCGATTTTCGATCCATATACAATTGGCTTCTTTTGTGATTCATTCTTTTTTTATAAAGATAAAAAAGAATTAATGAGTAATTGTATAGTAACTAATAATATAAAATAAAATTACGACGATCTTACAAAAAAATCTTCCATCACTTCTTCAACAGATAAGCGCCAGTTAAAATAACGAACATTTCTACTTGTATAAAAGGTTCACTTAATATATTTGTATTAGTAACTTAATTATTACCATCTTAATTATACCTAATTTCACCACTAAACCCATGATAATTGTAGGCACGTCCAATAAGCAATGGCCCATCATTAAAAACAACTTTTTGGTCTTTAACGCTCATGATACCATAGAATCTGATCCATTCACCATCTACATAGATATCTAATCTTTTTTCAGGATCAGAAAGTGTATAAGCTATATGGTACCATTTGTTTAATGAGAATCCATTACCAAGCGAGTTAATTCCAACGTTATGATCCCAGTTGCCTGTGAATCGAGGAAATAATGTAGATTTATTTTTTGTCAACCAAAGGCTAGGAGTACGGGCTGATGAATCTGCACCTAAATATATTTATATTTTACACAATAATCAGTTATCAGTCAAATATATTTATCATAATCTCGTTGATAAAAGGTTTTTAATTAATTTCACCTTTATAAAAAATTGCAGTCCAATCAGGATAATGTTTATGAATTTTCAGTCGTAATGTTATCGATAATTTATCATTTACTGCAGGCAAGTGGGCATGCTCGATGACTCGTTGGTCCTGTTCTTCCATGGAAATAGGTTCCGAAATAAGTTCAGCCCACTCTCTGACAGAAAATTTTGGCATCATTTTCTAAAGATTGATTATTATAAAATTTTATTTATAATAGACAAATAAATCTAATTATTAAAGATGCAAAATTTTGATTTCTTGTACCAGAGTACCAAATTTTTGTATATGAATACCTTTGAAAAAAAAAATTGTAAGTTAAATGTGTAAACCAACCTTATATATTATAATTTATAGTCTAATGTTGCTGATCCTACAATATCAGTAAGTTTCACAAGGGCTAAAATTCTACATGCAGTTACCGTGCACAAAATTGTAGTACAAATCGTTTAACGTTTTTTTAAATTGCTTTTACGCATATAAAAATATACTTTTATTCTGCTTTAGTCTCTAATTGTGTTATAGCATTCTTTAAATTAGCTTTTTCTGCATATTTTCAGAAACCTTTTCTCATTTTTCTTTCTTATCCTTGATTTTTTTAGCAAGATTTTCTCTTCAGAAGAGGTTGATTTCCATTTTCGAAAATAATATAAAATAATTCACGTAAAAAGAATATTATTATCGTTTATTGAAAATGAAAATGAAACTTGGTCAGAATGATGAGTCTGAACTTAAAGTTAAAATTGATTTTTGTATATTATATCATAATTGAGGCAAGAATAAGATGTTTACTTGAAATTGAAAAAATTGTAGTACTACGCCATATTACAAAGGATATAAATTGGACTTTCCACAAAATCAATGAAATAAGCAAGCTTCAATTAACGAATAATACAGCTGAGAAATAATTTATAATGACTAATATAATGAACTTGAACATAGTTAAAATATAAATAGTTAATATAGTTATATTTGAAACATGTAAAATCATTTGCTCTTTTAACGTGAATTACCGAATAAAAGAGATAAATCACAAGTTCATAATTTGATTTTTTATTAAGAATTAATCAAAGAATTAAAAGCCTTTATAATAGTATTAAGTCAATTAAAAATTATTATTTAGTTTTTTTGTATCGGCTTTTCCTAATTGTCTAATATATCTAATGTTAGGATATAAAATGTAAATAAATACATAAAATATAGACAAATATTGAAGCGTAATAAGTTATTAAATTAGTAAGCGGTTATAAAATTAAATTCCTTTTTGAAATCTTGTCAATTAGTAACCGAATTAACAAATTAGTAAATGAATTTTTCTGATAAAATAATTATCATGAAATTTTCTCCTATCACATTACTAAATAAAGAATCATGATGTAAATAAAGTATGAACCAATTAATGTTATAATATTCCGGTCATTAATTTGTTGAATGAGTACCACTCAATAGAATTGAAATTGATAACAGTAGTTTGATAAAGTGTGTTCTGATATATAGATTGATGATAAGTAAAATATTATAAACAAGAAGTTAGTGTTGAAAAAAAAAGAACCAAACTTATGATTTATGAAAGACTAAATTATACATATATATCATTTGAGCATTAAAATTAATTTATTGACTAATTTTTGAGTATTCTTTCAAGTAATTTTATTAATTGACGTTAAAATTATATTTACCTTATAAGGAATTTCATTGTGGAAATATAATAAAGTAAGGCTTTGACTTATTTGCGTAATTTTTAATCAATGAAAATAATAAAAAGGAATTTAAATTCCTCTGTCTGGAGCGTAGCAAAGAGCACTATATTTCTAAAAATTGAGTCACGTGGGTGCTTATTAAAATTGTACTATTATAAACTATTTTTTTTTTGCTTTCCTAGTTTAACATTGCTAAAAATGATTGGACAGATCAAGCAACATAATTGCGTAAAGTAATACAGCTTATCTTATTATTAAATAATTATCAGAATAATGTAGTAATGTAAAATATTTTATGATTTGTTCAAACTTGGTTTCAAGTATTACGAATATTTTGGAATATTAAAAAATCACTAAATTTTAATGCATTATGAAAATGCTTATTATGTTAACTTGATAATATCCTTCTCTTTGGTTATAAAATTGCAGTGAAAAATTTTCATTAAAAAAAATTAAAAGTACATATACAATATGATTGAAATTATACGAAAAGTATTTACAAAAACCATTCAGCACCAGATACTATAATGATGCATTGATGCTATGATTCTAGAAGGTCCAGCACCAGTTGTATCGCTACAGCATGAGGAAAGTCCAAAAATCGTGATCAATGTTACACAACTATTTATACACGTTTTACAATAAGATACAATTAGATTATGATCGTCCATATGACAACTCTCAAAAATTCCTACACGATTGGTAACGAAACTTTGTATGTATGTTCTTCAAAGCTTTCTCTTTCAACTGAGCTAATAAGATCCAATAAGATCCAATGTTCCAGGAACTTTTATAAGAAGGGTTTTTTTGCTTATAGTAATAGGCTAAAATTATAGTTACCGTCAGCAAATCTTAACCTGAAAAGAAAAAACTATTAAACGAAACGTTATAAAATAAAACTGTTTTATGGTTAAACTATTTACTGATACAGGTAAATTTTTTTATTTATTACATATTATATTACCAAGTATTAACGCTATTAAGTGCATTTAAAAATTTTGTATGTATTTCATGGCTTTTATTTGTTTCTATTTCTTCCACTGTTTCATTTTCTTCTACCGGAACTTCTTCATCCTTTTCTTCTGAAGTAAGAACATTTGGACCCCTTTCTAATCGTTCTAAAAAAGAGTTCACATTGCTATAAATTCCGCGTTTATAATATTCTTCACAATGACGACAACCGTATTCCATCATTTGATAACATTCAAAATGATATCCATGTCCACAGATCAACACTTCGCCATCATCAAGTTTTTTGCGGCAATGATCACAAGCATCTGGTGATGGAGGTATATTGGCACTATAACCTGTTGGAAGACACTTCGGATCAACAGTTTCTCTTAAGGTAAATAATTCGTATTGTAATGTTTTTTTTTTTTTTAATTTAATTGATTTACTTTTTCCTTGATTCTTAAAAATTTCTTGGAAATAATCTAATAAAAATAATGCTGTTTTATCTGTCAACAGTTTTAATGATGATGGCTTGTAAGGATATGCTTTTGTTTTTTCAAAAGTATCTTTAAGTTCACAATGGTTTCGTTCATCTAATGCATTCACATGAAGATCAAATGATGTTACAAAGTGTATATTACATAAAACAACAAATAGAAATAGAAAATAGTTGGCAAAACAAGATACCAATCACGTAAGCTTGTTTGATAATATTATCAACACTGCTATTGATGGATGTATGAGAGCGTATTTTGCTATGCATGTTTTCAACGTAATAATCATTAAAATTTATCAAAAATAACTTAATAGCTTCTGCAAAGGGATGATTAGTATCTTGCCAATAAAAAACATCAGATAGAAAGGCTAATGGTGCTTTATTGTAATTGTGCCATTTCCATCAAAGAGCGAATGTCCATATTCGAAAAATAGTTTCCATGTACTCATTAAAGGAACCCGATCTAAAGAGAATAGCGTAAATGTCTAAAGTTGCCGGTATTACATTATCCAGCAAGTCAATTGCCATGCGGTATTCAATGTCTTTACAGGTGGGACCAAATTTTATTAAAATTGTATCTCTAATCTTACACCACCCGTTGTAAGTTAAATCAAGTAGTAAATTAATGCGCCATGGTTTTGGTTTTTTTGCTAATACTTTTTTTTTGCCAAATACAGTATGAAATAGCTTTTGAAAAAATGTATAATATATAATTAACACATGCTCCCTGCTATTTAAAGAAACGTGAAGAGGTCCTAGAATTGGTATAAATGAATTAATTTCAGCTGGTATGGAATATTGTGAATCTGCCTTGTGCAAATTTGTTATTGCTTTGCGAATAAATAATTGTCCAGGCCAGTCAGCTACTAAAGGTGCAACTTTATTACGTAAGTGTTCAGTATCTTTATCAATATCTAAAATCATTTTCAACGCTCTTATATAATCATTCATGGAATGCAAATTACTTTCTTGAAGTCCAATTAGGCGTACTCCTTTCATTGAACGCTCTTCTTTACGTTCTGCAATTGCATCATCATAGCAATGCACTGTAAGCAACTCAATTTGATCAAAAGTATCATTATCTAATCGTCCATGAGTAAGCCATTGTTTTTTACGATTGTTATAAGCAATATCAAATATTCCGTGATATTCATTTATTAATCGAAAACAAATATTGCTTGCATCAATATTTTTTGGATTATGAACTGATGTATTATTAAAAACAATAGGTATTGATGCACAAGCCGAAACTTGCTTACAAATACAAGTAGCCATATGTTTAACAGTAGATAAAGTTACAGTATTTGGTCGTCTTTTTTCGTGTATATCATGATAGTCATCTAAATTATAAATGTATAAATGATCATTCTTTTCATACAGTAAATTAAATTTGATTAGTAAATAGTAATACAGTAATTTTAAAAATTACAACTTATATATATTTTTACTTACTTCTTCGGAAAGAAACTTTCTAATTTTTAGTGGATGTTCATTTGCAAGTTTTCGTTTAAAATTATTAACCGTTAGGTAACAAGCAGAGAATCCAATACTATTCATTGTATCAATTGCAATACGTGTTGCTCCTGATGCCGATAAGTATAGCCCAATTTCTAACTTAAAGTCATTAACAAACTTATTTCGCATTCCAGCCATAATGTAACATAAACTTACGATCATTTTTCTTGCCTCTATCTTATTGTATTCAGATCTGTTATTTGGTATTAATGCTTTTACCAAGCTATCAAAAAGACCTTTTAAATGTGGATTAGCTCTTTCAATCATTTGTTGAAAAAGGATAGGATCAAGTTCTATATTACCACGTTTCTCATATAAAACTTTTGTAAGCATAGTAATTTGCTCAGCAAATGTGTAGTTTTTTGGCTCTATTGGCTCTGTTAAATAAAAAATTAATTACTAGTTTTATAAAATTTTATAAGAAAATAATATTTACCATCAATTATTATACTTTCATTGTCTATTTCCATAGGAAGTAAAGTCTTTGGCTTCTGGTTACGGTCACATTCAACTATACTCATATAATGAGTATGACAAAGTTGTTGGCCGATTCTCAAGTAAGCATATAACTCGTAAGTTCCTTTTTTTTGAGCCTTTTCACACGCTAATTGAGTAAATTGACGAAAACGGTTTATTTGGTTATTGCAATTATGCACTGAGCATGGACCATAATTTTTTTGAACCATTTTAAACTGATGATAAACTCGATAGATGAACCGCAAAAACGGCTAGTAAAATAATCTGTGAAACGCGTTGTATAATCACGTGAAATTTATTTGACCAATCATAATATTGTCGATCATCATGATCGTCAACCAATAAAAACAAAATATCCTTATGCTTATCGCTACTTATATTCCATATCAGCCTGGAAGCTTCATATACCGCTCTTGCGGAACTCTTAGATAAGGGACTTTTCCATATAGACGACCTTTGGAAGTTTCTTTGGGAAAAGGGCGTAGCAACAAAGCGACATAATACTTATTTTAACAAAAACACACGTACTTAATAATTTACAGAGCAAAGTTAATAGAAATACTTAATTTTATGTTTTGTTAAATCATGTGTCAACTGATTGCACGAATTCTTCTACTTTTGAATAAACCAAATTATTTTTTTATTTTGGTAAAATAATATATAAATTTTATTCAATAAATAATGAAAAATATAACATAAATAAATAATGTATATAATGTATATAATTAAGTATATGACCATTTAAAATTTAAAATTCAGCATAACGTTATTCAATCGTATATAAAAAAAAATTGCCATTCTATAAACTTAAAATAGCAAAAAAAAAAAAATATTTTGGAGTCACAGTGAGAATAAGAAAAGCTAATATTAAGCAGAATTTCAAATTATAATGGTAAAAAAAGAAAAAAATTATTGAAAATAATGCAATTTGCCATTACTTATTTCGATTTTAATCTAAAATTTTTCTTTGCCCTTTTTTTTATTAAAAAATAGAAAATACGTTAAATATAAATAACAATAAAAAGTCATTTAAAAAAATAACTTCTAAATATGGTTTAATGAATCTGTTTAATAAAAAAATTACGTTAATAATAGATATTTTTTACAGTAATAATTTATTAATAAATACCTGAAAAATTCATGGTTATTATATCATCATTTTGATCATAATAATTGTCAGAATTTTTTGGCTCCGGAAGGTTATTAAAGCTAAGTAAACTACTACCAGTGTAATTAGCTTTTGAATGCATTCTATATGATGAGCTAGTTAAAGGCGTATTGTTATCATTGATTTCTTCAATTTGTTTTTGCAATTCTAAAGAATTGTCAAACTTAAATTCCCATAATTTATCTCTAACTTCAATTGCTGTTGGTCGATTTAATGAATTTGCATCTAAACATCTTTTAATTAAATGCACAATGAATGGAGATACTTTAATAGTGTTAAACCTTGGTCTAAGTCCTAGACAGATTTTCGTTACTAAATAGCCATCATTAATTAAATCGTGATATGGAGATAATCCAGAAATAACTTCATACATAACTATTCCAAAACTGTAAATATCAGAAGCTTTTGTATAACTTTGTCCTCGTAAAATCTCAGGGGCAATATAAGGCAAAACACCATATATATCATTTTTTGTATTTTCTGATGGCTTATAATCTGCAGGTTTACATAATCCCATATCTGTTATAAGAATAGTTTCGAAATTTTTTAGTATATTACCAGTATGTAGATCTCGATGAATTATTCCATTTCCATGAATATTTTCAAGTCCAGATGCAATATTGTATAAATAATTGATTTTAATTTTTAAATCTAAATTATTATTTTCCTTTAAAAAATCACGTAAGCTTCCATCCTCTGCATATTCCAAAACCATCATATAATTTTTTGTCTTTGGATCTTGAGTTATTCCATATAATTTAATAATAAATGAATTATTATCAACTTTATTATGCAATGCAACCTGTATAAAAATAAATAATATATCAATAAAATTAAGTCAAATTTCATTAACTAATAAAAATAAATTATACCTCATTCATAAATTCTAATGTGACATTTTTTGAATTATTTAAACTTTTCAGTGCTACAAACTTATTTTGACCTATTCTTTTCCAATTTTGATAATCATCATCCCAAAAACTTATATCTCCATCAATCCAATTTGCTTTATATACTTTACCAAACCCACCTTTTGCAACATACTCAACATCATAAAATTTATCATAAGGTATCCATTCTAATGCCTTTTTAACAACATCCTTATGAGATGATAGTTGTGTATCTTGAATAAATTTATCAATATCATCATTACCACTAGTCCAATTATCAAAATTTCGTTGAAAAAGTATTGAATAACATATATAATTACATCTTTTGCATTTTTCACCTAAAACCACCATATAATTTTTTGTTTCTAAATTTTGTGTTATTCCATAAAATATATAATCTGTTTTAACCTATAAATAGAGAATAATTATTAGCAAAAAATTAAATTTTATCAAAATTTAATAAATAAATTTATTATACCTCATTTATAAATTCTAATGTAATATATTTTATATTATCTAATTTTTTCAATACCAAAATCATATTTCGACCTTCTCTTTTCCAATTCTTATTTTCACTATCCCAATCAATTATATTTCCTTCAGTCCAATTTGCTTGATACCTATCATCTGCAATATATTTAATATCATAAAATTTATCATAGGGTATCCATTCTAATACTCCTCTTACATTAGTATGAGCTGATAATTGAATGTTTTGAATAAATTTATCAATATCATCATTACCACTAGCCCAGTTATTGAAGTTTTGTTGAAAATACATTGAACAGCATACAATATTGCATTTTATACATTTATTACTCAAAATCACCATAAAATAACCTTTTGTTTCTAGATCCTGAGTGATTCCATAATATTCATCTGATTTAATCTATGAATATAATAATTAGTAAAAAAAAAATTATAATTTATCAAATTTATCAAAAATTTTAATAAGTAAATTTATTATACCTCATTAATAAATTCTAAAGTAATATCTTTTATATTATCTAATTTTTTCAATACCAAAATCATATTTTGACCTTCTCTTTTCCAATTCTTATTTTTACTATCCCAATCAATTATATTACCTTCAATCCAATTTGCTTGATACCTATCATCTGCAATATATTTAATGTCATAAAATTTATTATAAGGTATCCATTCTAATATGTTTCTTAAATTATCATGAGATGATAGCTGAATATCTTGAATAAATTTATCAATATCATCATTGCCACTAGTCCAATTATTGAAGTTTTGCTGAAAATGTATTGAATAGCATATATTATTGCATTTTTTACATTTACTATCCAAAACTATTATATAATTTTTCGTTTCTGGATTCTGAGTTATTCCATATACAGTGGTAATCTTTAAATATTATTATGTATTAGCAAAAAATTAAACTTTATCAAAAATTTTAATAAGTAAATTTATTATACCTCGTTCATAAATTCTAATGTAATATCTTTTATATTATCTAATTTTTTCAATACTAAAATCATATTTTGACCTTTTCTTATCCAATTCTTATTTTTACTATTCCAAATAATTATATTTCCTTCAATCCAATTTGCTTGATACCTATCATCTGCAATATATTTAATATTATAAAATTTGTTATAAGGTATCCATTCTAATACTTCTTTTACATTATTATGAGCTGATAGCTGAATATCTTGAATAAATTTATCAATATCATCATTTCCACTAGTCCAATTATTGAAATTTTGTTGAAAATGTATTGAATGACATGTATAATTACATTTTTTACATTTTTCATCTAAAACCATCATATAACTTTTTGTTTTTGGATTCTGTGTTATTCCATAAGTAATGGCAACCTATAAATATTATTTAATAGCAAAAATTAAAATTTACCAACAATTTTAATAAATTTATCATATATACCTCATTCATAAATTCTAATTTAAAATTTTTTGGATTATTTAATTTTTTCAATACTACAATCATATTTTGATTTTTTCTTTTCCAATTTTGGTTATTAATATCCCATTTCCATATATTTCCATTAGTCCAATTTGCTTCATATTCATTTTTCATAATATATGTAATATCATGAAATTTATTATAAGGTATCCATTCTAATGCTTTTTCCACATATTTATGTGATGATAACTGAATATCTTGAATAAATTTATCAATATCATCATTTCCACTAGTCCAATTATTGAAATTTTGTTGAAAATGGATTGAATGACATGCATAATTACATTTTTTACATTTTTCATCTAAAACCTTCATATAATATTTTGTTTTTGGATCCTGTGTTATTCCATATGCAATAGTAGCCTATAAATATTATTACATATTAGTAAAAAATTAAAATTTATCAATATTCTAATAAGTAACTTTATTATACCTCATTATACATAAATTCTAATCCAACATTTTTTAGATTATTTAATTTTTTTAATACTACAATCATATCTTGATTTTCCCTTTTCATAAAATTTGCTTGATACCTATCATCTGAAATATATTTAATATTATTAAATTGGTTATAAGGTATCCATTTTAATACTCCTATTGGACTATTATGAGGTAAGGTTAACTGAGAACCTTGAATATATTTATCGATATTATCATTGCCACTAGTCCATTTATCGAAATTTTGTTGAAAATATCTCATTGAAAGACATCTGTAATTACAAATTTCACATATAATATATAAAACCATCATATAATCTTTTGTTTCTGGATTTTGTGTTATTCCATAAATAGTAGCAATCTATAAATATTACATATTAGCAAAAATTAAAATTTATCAAAAATTTTAATAAAAATATTGTTATACCTCTTTTTCAAATACTAATTCGGTATCTTTTACATTATTTAATTTTTTTAATTCCACAATTTCATTCATATCTCTTTTCCAATAACCATATGTACTACTCCAAAAATTTATATTTCCATCAATACATCTTGCTTTATACCTATTGTCTGCAATATATGTAATATCATAAAATTTATCATAAGGTATCCATTCTAATATGTTTTTTAAACTTTTATAAGATGATAGCTGATTATCTTGAATAAATTTATCAATATTATCATTTCCACTAGTCCAATTATTGAAATTTTGTTGAAAATACATTGAAAAACATGCATAATTACATTTTTTACATTTATCACTTAAGACCACCATATAATCTTTTGTTTCTGGATTCTGTGTTATTCCATAAGCAACCTACAAATATTCTATATTAGTAAAAAATTAAAATTATCGTAATTTTAATAAAAATAAATTCATTATACCTCATTTATTAATTTAGAAATTTTTGGATTATTTAATTTTTTCAATACTATAGTCATATTTTGACTTTCTCTTTTCCAATTCTTATTATTATCATCCCAATTAATTATATTTCCTTCAATCCAATTTGCTTGATATTTGTCTTTTGCAATATGCTTAATATTATAAAATTTATCATAAGGTACCCATTCTAATGCTTTTTTCACATATTTATGTGATGATAACTGAATATCTTGAATAAATTTATCAATATCATCATTTCCACTAGTCCAATTATTGAAATTTTGTTGAAAATGTATTGAATAACATACAATATTGCATCTTTTACATGTATTATCTAAAATCATCATAAAATCCTTTGTTTCTGGATTTTGAGTTATTCCATAAAATTTATTATCTGTATTGGACTATAAATATAAATATTGGTAAAAAATTATGATAATTTATTAAATTTAAATAAAAATAAATTTTATTTACCTTAACCAGAAATTCGCCTGTAACATTTTTTAGATTATTTGATTTTTTCAAATCCACACTCATATTTTGTTCTCCTCTTTTCCAATTTTTACTATTACTATCCCAATCAATTATATTTCCGTCTATCCAATTTACTCGATACCAGTCTTTTGCAATACATTTAAAATTATAAAATTGACTGTAAGGTATCCATTCTAATACAAATCTTACATCTTTATGAGCAATTAACTGAGTTACTTGAATAAGTTTATCAATATCATCATTATTACTAGTCCAATTGTTGAAATTTTGTAAAAAATGTATTGTATTACATACAGTATTACATTTTTTACATCTATTAGTCGAAACTATCATATAATTTTTTTTTTCTGGATCTTGAGTTATTCCATAAAACATATAATTTATTTTAATCTACAATTAAATTAATATTAGCAAAAAAATTGAAATTTATTAAAATTAATAAAAATAAATTTGTTATACCTTATTCACAAATTCTAATGTAACATCAGCTGGATTATTCAATCTTTTCAGTTCTATATTCACATCTTGGTTTTGTCTTGTCCAATTTCCATTTTGATTATCCCAAAAAACTATATTCCCATCAATCCAATTTGCTTGATACTTGTCTTTTGCAATATGCTTAATATTATAAAATTTATTGTAAGGTATCCATTCTAATGCTTTTTCCATATCTTTATGAGCTGATAACTGAGTATCTTGAATATATTTATCAATATCATCATTTCCACTAGTCCAATTATTGAAATTTTGTTGAAAATGTATTGAATGACATGCATAATTACATTTTTTACACTTAATATTCTTCAAAATCATCATATAATCTTTTGTTTCTGGATTTTGTGTTATTCCATAAGCAATATTAATCTATAAATATTACTACATATTATTAAAAAAATAAATCTTATCAAAAATTTAAATAAAAAACAAATTTATCATACCTCATTCATAAATTCTAATTTAAAATGTTTTGGATTATTCAATTTTTTCAATACTACAATCATATTTTGATTTTTTCTTTTCCAATTTTGGTTATTATTATCCCAATCCCATATATTTCCATCAATCCAATTTGCTTTAAACTCATTTTCCACAATATGTGTGATACCATAAAATTTATCATAAAATTTATCATAAGGTATCCATTCTAATACTTCTTTTACACTATTATGAGTTGATAGCTGAGTATCTTGAATAAATTTATCAATATTATCATTACCACTAGTCCAATTATTGAAATTTTGTCGAAAATGTATTGAATAGCATGTGTCATTACATTTTTTACATTTGTTATCCAGAACTATTATATAATCTTTTGTTTTGGGATTCTGTGTTATTCCATAAGCAATATCAATCTATAAATATTATTATAGATTAGTAAAAAATTTAACTTTATCAAAAATTTTAGTAAGTAAATTTATCATACTTCATTCATAAATTCTACTGTAATATCTTTTAAATTATTTAATTTTTTCAGTACTATAATCATATTCTGACCTTTCCTTTTCCAATTTTTATTTTTAATATCCCAGTCGATTATATTTCCATCAATCCAATTTGCTTGATACCTGTCATTTGCGATATGTTCAATATCATAAAATTTATCATAAGGTATCCATTCTAATATGTTTCCTAAATCATCATGAGATAATAGCTGATTATCTTGAATAAATTTATCAATGTCAACATTACCACTGGTCCAATTTTCAAAACCTCGTTGAAAACGTCTTGTGTAACATATACGATTACATATTTTACATGTTTTATATGACGACTTAATTCGTTTCTTTTTATCCATTATGACTTCAACAAATTGTAGTTGAACTCAAATTTATAAAATAATTAAAATTGAAATAAAAAATTTATTTCAATCAGCCTATTTACCCTATTTATATAATGTTTAAAAAGCCGTTAGCCATGAATATTAGAATATTACCATTATAACCCCATAAATTATAGTCTCATTTTGTAGATGCTGAAGATCCTACAATATTAGTAAGTTTCACAAGGGCTAAAAATCTGCATGCAGTTGCCATGCACAAGAAATATAGCTTCTGTTTATCATGTAAAGTTTTTTCATTCATAAAAATCTAGAGTCTAGACAATCACAATATTATTATATATAAATTTCAATAATTTTAAACGAAAATATAATCTACATTTTAAAAAGCAAATGACATAAAATTTATAGAATTAACATGTAATTATCATAAAGTAAAAAACAGCTCAGGTTTTAACAGTTACTGCGCCGTACTAATGGAAACAAGGAAATGGGGAAAGAGTTTTTTTTTTCTTTAGATTCATTATTCTTTTTCTAAGATATTAAATTCACAGGCAAAGTATTCATGTAGATCACAACCAAAAAAGAGTATATTTAAGTCTTTTAACCAGGTCACTTTATTTTATAAATATAAAAAAAATTGTAAAGAATACAACAGATTACCGAATAGGGAAAAAACAATTGTCAGTTTTTGGCTGTTTGTTAACTCTATATTCAGAAAGGTCTTTTACCACTTTGTGGGCAGCCTCTAACGTACTCATTCTGAAAGATATCTATGGTTTACTCCGCCTTTTACTAAATACACTGAAAAAGTTTCTTTTTATTTTTTATTTTATTTTTTCAAAAATATTTTTGGTGGGAATTTTTTTTTCTTCTTATCATGTGATTTGGCAAATTTGGCACATTCTATGGCACGCCGATGTGGACAGATTGGTGATGTGGACAGATTGGTATTTTTTTTTTTTTTAATACCAACTCCCGCTATTTAAATAATACCAGCTCATGTATTTTAATATTACTGCAACATAATATCAATATATCCCACCTTGACAGATCAGCCTTCATGACCAACCCTAATGTTGTTCTAGAATATCAGATCAGAACAGGTAGTATAAAACAACCACATATCATTTCATAAAATACATACACAAACAATACACCAAAGCAATCTTATACCAATAATATTATCATNTTTTTTTAATACCAACTCCCGCTATTTAAATAATACCAGCTCATGTATTTTAATATTACTGCAACATAATATCAATATATCCCACCTTGACAGATCAGCCTTCATGACCAACCCTAATGTTGTTCTAGAATATCAGATCAGAACAGGTAGTATAAAACAACCACATATCATTTCATAAAATACATACACAAACAATACACCAAAGCAATCTTATACCAATAATATTATCATCATTTAAATGATACATTATATTATCTTTTGTTCTTTTGTACGGATTACTAAATAATTCAATAAATTTTATTTTCAAAAAGAGAAAAAATTTTTCCCATGATTTTTTTACTTTACTAAACAACGTAAAATACTCTGAATAATTAAATTAAAACTCGCATATCCAGATCAATCCGATATGTAGTACAGACTACTGAAACCAACCTAAAACTAACTGATCACATACAAGTGGTGGCTACTCTAAAAAAATATACTGGCTAGTTCGTTTAGTAATTTTTTAATTTTTTTTTTGGATCAGAATTTTTTTCATTTAGTAATTTTATTATTATTTTTTTTTTTGTAACAATTAATTGATTTTGTGAAGAGTCTATAAACATATAAATAAACCATAAATTCTATAATACTGCAACATTTGTTTAATATTATAATATTTATATCAAGTTATTATAATACTAATTTAATCATATTGTAAATATGCTTCATATTATTGTATTGTAAATATTGTAAATATAATTCATATCATTCAAATATAGATAGTTGTATTATACTAATAAGTAATAATAAATATGTAATGTATTATTTTAATTTAATAATCATATTCTAAATATAAATTACCATATGGGCGGATGAGAAAAATTGGGCCTAATTTTATGTCACCATATTCTTTTGTGTGTAACATAAATCATAGGATCTGGTGGCTTAGCGAATTATTGTAAATCACAAAATAGGGTGTCTTCGGGACTTTAAAAACGATTTTGAATATTAACGATACTAAGCAACCCATCAACTATATAAGGAACCCATCAGTGAATTTTATAGTAAGCAACTGAGTTTAATATCATGTTACTTTTAGCCTAAAAAAGACCTTTTTTTTATTATAAACTACGTTAACTAATTTTTTTGAGTTAATTATTTCTTTTTTTAAAAAAAAATAAAAATATGTTAACAATGTCGACTCTAAATAATACGCCTTGCAACATGTTGGAATGTAAAATGTGTGGACAGATTTATAAACGACATTCAAGCTTAGCTAAACATGAAAAATCCATTAAAGATGCTAATACTATAAAGCCAACAATATATGATTTGCCTGAAGGAGCAATTGAAGAGACGCGAAAAATGATAGTTTATCATATAAAAGAAAGACTGAAACAGCATTCAAGACATGCTGGAAATGTTAACATTATGGTTAATTGCACGGAGAGTCAGTTTTTTGGTGTTTTCAAGGGGTATATACATAATTATTATCCAAGAACGGGAAATTATAAATGTATATTTAAAGGCGTTGATACTTACTCTACTTTATCACTTATATTGAGAGATGACAATTGGGGTGCTAAATATTTTTCACAGCATCAGAAAACATTTGTTTTATCATACCAACTACCATCAAATCCAAATGATCCTGATCCTCTTCGAGAACCAGATCCTCTTCAAGAATTCGATCCTCTTCAAGAGCCAGATCCTCTTCAAGAACCCGATCCTCTTCAAGATCAAACTAAAAAAAGACGGATTCACAAACCAAAACCTGTACAAATTATTATTGGATGGAGAAAAAAAATAAAATCAGACGTGCATAATATTAATTATTCATCAGGATTTATTTTCATAAATTTTACAGTTTCACGTATGAGAATTGTTAGATGAACATGGGAAAGGGTGATGATAATAAAAATTTATAAGATAAAATAAATAGAAAAAAAATTAAATTTATTTTGTAAACATAATATTATTGTACATATATAAATAAAATTATATTAAAAATTAAGTTTTTACGGCTTTGCTTTTTAAAAAATTATTTTTCATATAAATACTTTTTCTACAAATTTTAATTTTACATAATTATTTAAATAAACATTAAGTTTTAAATTGATGATTTTTTTCGTGCCTTTATATACAAAGACGTTTTGGTTTTGGAACTAAATCAATTTCATCGCAGTTATTAAAATATAAAGTTCTATTTTCATATTCAAGAATATCTATAATTGCAGACTTTCTTCCTTTTCCCCCACCACCATCTTTTGTTGTTTTTCTAAAGAAATGAGAAACTTGTTGGTGATTCTTTTTTTCTACAGCTGAACAAGAAAATGCAGCCAAACCAAATTGACGGTGAATATGCATCATTTCTGGAATATGATACACTAGTACATGCATGTATGGCGTGATATCACTTGCTTGATAAAAGCTAGAATCTAAAAATTGGTGTAGCCATTCACGTGCATCATTGGAGAATTGTACCACATCAGTTTTGGAATCTTTCACTGCTTTGTGAAGTAAATAAAAATTATACCATAAATTTAGAATTTGAGCTGCTCGGGAACGTGGAAAAAGTTTATTAAGATCAAAATGTTGAAGTACAGTTAATTTATCCTGTCCCATCAAAGAAGTAAATTGCCAATTAGTTGATCCTACTTCAAGCCAAAAGTAAAACTTAACACCAATACGTTACATTTCTTCAATTATTACATTTCTTGCTTTATCTCCCCAAGTATTTCTAGATCTGATTTCATCAAGTACCAATCGCCAAAGAACATCTGTAATGCGTAACATCATATGGAGTTCGTCTGGAACCCAATTTTGCAATGGAATCATATCAAAAAGCGGTAGTTGAATATGACCTTTATAAATTTTATAATTTTCGCAAATTTGATCCATAGTTTTACTTATTGTCCAATTATATGAAAAATCTCCCTGTTGTTCTTTGGATACTTCACACCATGGGCAAAAATATTTACTGTTTGCAGCATTCATTCCCAAACAGATCACGAGAAATTTCCAATCAGACGAAAAATAAAGATTAATTTTCCATTTCACACCATGATTATCTTCCAATCCTTCTTCTTTTAACTTTCTCAATTCTACAATTAAATGTTCCAATACAATATTCAATATTTCATATTTTTCAATACCAGGATATAAGGTTGTAGTATAATGATTTTCTGATTGATGTAGTTTATTTTTATCATTAAGAATTGAGAAAGTAATCATTACATGCTTAACATTTTTCCCAACATTCCTTCCATCACCAGAAATTAGTAAATAAATTTCTGGATGAGTCATACATAACACTTCTCTTTTAACAAGATTTGGTATGAGATATTTTAAAATATCAATAATACTTCGCCTTCCACCTTTTCCAATTGATTGTTGCATGTTATCAATAATTTCAGCATCATCAATATGTACTTCTGAATTTATATAATCATTATTAGACAATAGTGATGTTAAATTAACAAGTGAAATTGGTATAAGTTTATTTATTTCACATGTAATTTCTTTTCTTTCTGATGACACTCTCCATTCACGTGGCAAATTATGATTAACCAATGCTAACGTTCGATATCCATCACGTGCTATTTGCCCTCTATCACACGCTTGAACAGTAGCTCTTACTTTATGTTTCATGTCTTCAACATTTTCCTCCCCCATACTAATATGAAAAGGTTGGTCTTTAATATCAAATTCAATTGATTTTAAAATAGGTTTATCTTCCAAATGACAACTTTTGATTGCTGTTTGGTCAAATATTGCATGAACAGATTTTGCAATTTTTTTGGCGCGGTTATTTTGTCCAGTTAAAGTTAAATTGTCAAATGGTTTTAAGGTTGCTGCACGCCTCTTGGCATTTCTTGCCTGCTGAAGGATTTCTAATTGAAGACCAAATACATATGGTCCTGAGTGGCGTGTCTTAGTTTCTGGATCTAAAGCCTATTACAAATAAAAATAAATTTTTATATTAATAATTTTAAAATATAAACTATTGCCTCTAGTTAATATAATAAAATAATACTCATACTTTGGCATATAAACTTGCTGCATCGGAACAGGACTTTTCTGATTTTATTTGGTGTTGATAATTATTTCCATAACACACCCAATAAATTGGATTATTATCTACATATTTAATTATACACCTGACCAAATGCCTTTTTTTAGGCTTTCCCCAGCTCGTTTCAACTTCATAGTTGTCAGGAATTCGAAATCCATTCTGACGTTTTGTGTATTTAAGATAAGCAACGGGCGGATAATTTCCTTCTTCAATAATGTTATAGGTGTAACTTCGTCCAGTTTCAGAATACTCAATAATAGGTTTCTCAGGATAATTATGGATTTCAACAAAATTCTTTTTTATAACTTGTTGAGATGGTAAAGGAGTTTCATTAAATTCCATTTTTTATTAATATCTCCTTAACAAGATTTTGATTTTTTTATGATGAAGTTAACAATGACGATCATATTACTAATATGATCGTATATAAAATTGTTGATCGGAATATGAATTAAAAGTGACCCCCAAAAAAATTGGGGGACTTTTCCGATCAGCCCATATGCTATATGTTCAGTATTGTACAATGTCTTCTTAAAATTAAATTGTTAGTCTAATATTAAATACAAATCTACATAACTACTTCAGTCTTTTCTTATAAAAAATTTTTCTAAGGGTACTGACTACCTTTCAGATCCCTTACTTAGGTTTTTTTTCACCTTTTTAAATTTTTATTTTATTTAATTTTTATTATTTATTTTATTTTGAATTATTTATTTACTTTCAATTCTTCAAATTTCTAATTACAAACGAAATTTAGTATTATATAAGTAACAAAATTTCTAAACATAAATCAGAATTTTCTTTTCAATACATAATACTATAATATGTAATTAATATATATCCCGGCGCAGCGCGACGGGTTACGGCTAGTTTTTTTATAAAAATTTTATGTGTTGCGCAATATTTACACAAAAATAGAAAATTATTTTTAAAAAAAAATTTTTACACAAAGATTATATAATAAACTTACAAAGCCTGTGGAAAATTTCTACTTCTAATACCCTAATACGAATGAAAGTTGAAAAAAAAAGAAACTCCAAATTTACTAACATTGAATTGAAAGATTCACATAACATGTCAGCAGTAGTGCTCCGCAAAATTCGGGTCTAACCCGGATAATTCAACCCGAGTGAATTTTAAATCGGGTCAGTATTAACAATTTTAATAACCCGTGACCCGCATGACCCGACCCGTCGGGTCGGGTCATTCATTTCCTTGACTCAGGTTTTGACCCGAATTAGACCCGGATGATAATTAAAATCACTGATCACATATTGATTACGTGTTAATATTGATTACGTTTATATAATATTGTTAGACAAATGAGGTAGTATATCCCCACTTAGCGAAAATGGCTAGAGACTACCTTGCAATTACAGGTATGTATATAAATTATTATTATTAATTATTAACATTATATTAACTAATAAGTTGATTTTGATGATTAATAAAGCCCAGTAGAAAGAGTATTTTCCAGTGGAACCGATTTGATAGCTGCAAAAGGATGTAGTTTTTAAACACATGCATGTTCTAATTGTATCTGCTTTAAGTCCTGGCAGACACAAAATATAGTCAAATTTTTGTTAAAGCAAGTGATACAATTTCGATTTTATAGTTCAAATATAAAATAGGAATTGAAGATATATATCGTTAAATTCGTGCTTAGCATTAGTTCTAATAATAAAAAGTTGAGAGACCTATATGATTATCTTGTAGATCAATTGCCTTGCATTAATGAAAAAATTATATTTGAAAAAAATATTTCTGATATATTACTAAGTGTACAGTATATTATCCAATATATATATTGAAAATTACTAAATTTTGGGTCTAACCTGGGTTATTCGAATTAAATATATTCGGGTCGGGTCAAAATCGGATCATTTCTATTTTTGCCGGGTCGAGTCAGATATATTCTCCAAACCCGACCGAATCCGACCCGGTAGGAGCACTAGTCAGCAGTTGTATATTTAAGTAAGGTACTGTATGTTTTACATCAGAATTCATATTTTTAGTAAATTTCCATACAGTATCCACGGTTAAATGATCCTCCATTTTGGTAAATTTAATTTGTTTCAAATTTATCAAATGGTAGTATAGTAGTAGTATAGTACTATTTAGAAATACTGTTTAAATATTTTTCAGATAATGATTTATTGCTGTAAAAATAGTAATTTTATTAATAAATTAGAATTTACTACTTTTTACTTTTTATATCAAAAATTAACTGAATTTATTGAAGTTGATTGATATATTTTTGTGAGGATAATTTAAATTTATTAAAAAAGCATTTCCAATAATGTTTGTAAGAAACTTTTATTATAAATATTTTAATACTAATTATATTAAAATAATGATATTGAGGAATCTGTCTTTAGAATGACGTAATGACAAATAATGGATATTTAACATAAATATAAAATTTTTGAGTATTTTGAGATCAATTAAATGAATTAAATGGTTGAATTTTACAATTTAAGCAATAAAAGGTAATAACTTTGTGTTACAATTAATTTCCACATATTCATAATCAGTTAATTAATTCAATACGCCACTAAAAGTATTATTACATAATAATTGTAAGTGAAAAAAAGAAATTTCATATAGTAGTGAATATTAAATTAAATATTTGCACCTTATTATTTTTTTCACTTCCATCTCCATAACAAGAAACTTCTTGAGATCCATCACCCAATAAAACTGTATTACTGTAAAGTGCTGGTTTATTAGTATTAATATGGTAAAGGCTAACAATATCTCCATTCATCAGATGACCAACATCATAGGAAGTGGTAAAATTGTAACGTTGAATAAGCCAATCATTATCAATACCTCTATCCGAACATATGGTCACTAAATATAGAAATTTTAAAATTGAATACCAAAGAAAAGCATTTATTACATACAGTATATTAGTTTAAAAATACCTTGTTGTTGTTTTGATATTGGTGTGACGTTCTCATGATTACTAGTACCATGAGAATGTAAATAATATCCTATTTCATGATGTTTTAATCCAATAATTTTATTAAGAGATATAAGGTCTCCTTCTTTTATACTTTGATCACTGGCTCCAATTACCGTCCAAACATTGTTTTTGAAATCTATTTTATGACCACTACAAACAACCTTTATAAATTTTATAAATAAATTATTATGATATTTCGACGATGGGTAACTTAATTAATATTAAAATAAAAATATTTCATATACCATATATTGTTGGTCTTTTTGGCCAAAGTCATATTTGATTCCCTTAGTAGCTAAATATTTTCCAGTATATACAGTACCTGGAAAAAAGTATCCGGTCAGCAGTAAATTACGATAATCGCTATGAAAATATCCTTCTATATAAAGTTTTTTTTTTAATAATTAACAGGTCTTCTGTGTAATAAGTAAAGTTAATTATCGAATTGAATTGCGCTTACTCTAAAAATTTCATGAACTTCTGAAAAAAATTGATTGCTATATTTTATAGGTTATTAAATAAATCAGATTTTTAATGGAAGGTGTTTAGGTATAATATAACATTAAAAAATTTTGTTTTACCATGCTTCATTTTTTAAATAAAATTATTTATCAAAACTTTTGGCATATTTTTAAGAAGTTTTATTAAAATCAATGAGAAAATCAACAAGTTATATTTATTTTACTGTAATTTGCCGATCATTTGTCGATCATCATCAAATTAATTACTGAAATTAAATATTACTGATGCATTAAATTTGGGCCAATTTTTTTTTATGAAAACTTGGGATTTTGATTATTATTTTTAGCTTTTTTTATTGTAATGAGAATTCAAAGATCAATAATTTGATCTTTAATTAAAATTTTATAAATAACTAATAGGTACGATCATCATTGTTAAATATGTGTAACTTACAAACTGTTTTGTTTATTTTGATGATACTTTGTAGTAATATGTTACAAACTTTGATAAATAATTTTATTTAAAAATGAAACATAATAAAACAAAATTTTTTAATGTTATATTATACCTAAATACTTTCCATTAAAAATCCGATTTATTTAATAACCCATAAAATATAGCAATCAATTTTTTTCAGAAGTTCATGAAATTTTTAGAGTAGATGCAATTCAATTCAATGATCAATTTTACTTATTACACAAAAGATATGTTAATTATTAAAAAAAAAACTTTACATAGAAGGATATTTTCATAACGATTATCGTAATTTACTGCTGACCGGTTACTTTTTTCCGGGCACTGTACATGTATAAGAGCGATTTTTGATCCATATGCAATTGGTTTTTTCTGAGATTCGTTCTTTTTTTTTTTGAGATAAAAATAAAAAAATATTAAACAGTTTAGTGTTTAATTGTAAAAACAAACTATGTGGAATTATAAAGTAACTTACAATAAAATCTTCCATTACTTCCTCAGGAGATAAGCGCCAGTTGAAATAACGAACATTGCTATTTATATAAAAGGTTCATTTAATATTTTGTATTAAATTAAATTACAATAATTTTTAAATCATACCTAATTTCACCATTAAATGAACGATGAGTGTGATCAGTACATCCAATATGCAATGGTCCATCATTAAAGATAACCTTTTGCACCATAACTTTTGAAATTCCATAGAATCCGATCCATATACCATCCAAATAAAGATCTAATCTTTTTTCAGGATCAGAAAGTGTATAAGCTATATGGTACCATTTGTTTAGTAAAAGTCCATCATCAGGTTCATGAATTCCAGCATCACGATCCCAGTTGCCTGTGAACCGAGCATGCAATGCAGATTTATTTGGCGTCAACTGGAGAATGGGAGTACGGACTAAACGTTCGGTACCTAATATATTTATATTTATTTCATTATCAAAGAAATATCAATTAAAATATTCAAAAATCAGCAATAATCTTGTTAGCAAATATTTTTATAAAAAGTATAATTATTCCTGCCCTTATGAAAAATTGTAGCCCAATTAGAACGATGATTGTGAATTTTTAGTCGTAATGTCATAGATAATTTATCATTTACTGCAGGCAAATCAGCATGCGCAAAGACTTGTTGATCCTGTTCTCTCATGGAAATAGGACCTGAAATAAGTTCAACCCACTCTCTGATGACGTGTTTCATCATTTTCTGAAGAAAAAATGAATAATTAATTATAGATAATGGGAACAAATAAATTTAAATACTAATGATAAAATTCAAAAGCTTAAGTACCAGATTTTGTTATACGAGTAGAGAAAAAATTCAAAATGATTAAAAAGCCATACCAACCTTATATATATAGTCTCGTGGATGTTGATCTTACATTATTAATAAGTTTCACAAGGGCTAAAAATCTGCATGCAGTTGTCGTGACACAAGAAATATAGTTTATAACTGAAGTATAAATATTATTAATTCATACCGGAAACCATTACTTCAATAACTGTCTATTAACGGACCCTTCGCAAGTTTGAACGTCAAATCATGTCGTCAGTTTCAGGTAATATGGGCGTTCACTTGACCGATAAGCCACATGATAAATACTACATGTTCGTTGATTTATGCGAAATTATACTAAAAATAATATAAATATATTTTTGAAGTTTTTAATTTACTTACCTTAAGAATCGAACCTAAGACTCTAAGTACCCATTTTTCGTAAAGGCTATTTAAGCTTTTAATTTATAATACATATGTTTTTGAAAAATCATGTAAGTTTAATATTAATAACCATAATTTATTATGAATTATACAGTTATTGGACAGTCCTTTAAATTTCGTTATAAAACAGTATTATCGGAATTATCCAATTATTGATCGTAAACATAATAGTAATTATAACGATAATAGTCAATTAACAGTTATTGGTCATATATTTCGTTAATTTATGTAAAAATCTTAACGTAAAATTTACAATTTTGATCAAGGATGATCACTGGACTGCCTGATAATTTAGTGATGTAGCTAACTTCTTTTAATCTTTTCAAAAGTTATTATGATCAGCTTAGATTTTCATTTTTCCAATTTTCATTTACGGTATCTGTTTTGGCCAAGTCTATTTTTAACAATTTGATTCAAATATATTATATAGTGACTCATTTCACAATCTTCAATTAAATGTTTTATTGCAATAAAGATAATTTTGAGGTTGTTTACTGGATTAGGATTTTTATTAAGGTTATGTTATATTTTAATGGAAATTAATCGAACTTGATAATTAACTTATTTACAGTATATTTTTAGTAAAAATATTTAAATTTATTAAAAAACAATTATTCTTACAATGTTTTATGAGAAACCATTATTATAAGCGTCTTAATTCTAGCTATTTTGATACTAGTTAAAACTAGTATAGAGAAAACTGTCTTTATCTCGACATTATATCAAGTCATAAATATTACACGTGTATAAGGAAAATTTTGAGCATTTTTGAAACTAATTAAGTGGTAAATTTTAATTTAGATATTGACATTATTTATTACCATATCGTACAAGGAATATTTGTAATGAGTATTAAATTAAAAGTCATCATTAACTTCCACAAATTCGTATTCAATTAATTAATTCAATACGCCACTAAAAGTATTATTATAAAACAACTGTAAGAAAAAAAAAAAATTTCGTATAATAAATAATTGCATTTTATTTGTACCTTATTATTTTTGTCACTTCCATCTCCATAACAAGAAACTTCTTGAGATCCATCACCTAATAAAATGGCGTTACTGTAAAGTGCTGGCTTATTAGTTTTGATATGGAAAAGGCTAATAATATCACCATTCATCAAATGACCAATGTCATAGGAAGTGGTTGAATTGTAACGTCGAATAACCCAATCATTATTACTATCTCTATCCGAACACATGGTCACTAAATATTAAAATTACAAATTGTTAATACATAGTAGTATAAGTCTATCTTTTGTATTCAATTCAATAATACCTTGTTGTTGTTTTGTTATTGGCGTGGCTCTCTCATAACTAGTACCATGAGAATTTAAATAACATCCTGTCGCTTGGTGTTTAAATCCAATAATATTATTAAGAGATACGGGGTCTCCTTCTTTTATACTTTCACCATTGGCTCCGATTATAGTCCAAACGTCATTTTTCAAATCTATTTCTTGACCACCACAAATAACCTTTATAAAAAACTCACTACATTAAAATTTTTTTAATACAAATGAATAACAACGAATGTATAGTACCATATAGTGCTGATCATCTCGACCCAAGTCATATTTGATTCCTTTAGTAGACAAATATCTTCCAGTAGATACATGTGCAAGAGTGATTTTTGATCCATATACAATTGGCTTTTTCTGAGATTCATTCTTTTTTTTATTTGAGATAAATAAAAAAATTACTAAGTAGTTTAGTTGTAAAAAAATATGATGCAACATTACAAAAGTATCTTACGAAATAATCTTCTATTACTTCTTCAGGGGACAATCGCCAGTTGAAATAACGAAAATTGCTATTTATATAAAAGGTTTATTTAATATTTGGTATTAAATCAAATTAAATTATATATTTAAATAATACCTAATTTCACCATTAATCCCAAGATTGTTTTCAGAGCGTCCAATATGTAAAGGACCATCATTAAAGACAACTTTTTGCACCTTAACGTTCGAAATGCCATAGAATCCGATCCATTCACCATCCAAATAAAGATCTAATCTTTTTTCGGGATCAGAAATTGTATAAGCTATATGGTACCATTTGTTTAATAAAAGTCCATCATCAGGCACATCAATTCCAACATTACTATTCCAGTTGCCTGAGAATCGAGCATGCAATGCAGACTTATTCGACACCAATTGGAGAATGGGAGTACGTATACTACTAAATTCTGTACCTAATATATTTATATTTTTTTTTATGATAAGTGAAATTATCATTTAAAAATATTCAAAAGTACCATAATCTCGTAATTAACCTTACCTTTATGAAAAATTATAGGCCAATGAGAAAGCTTGTGAATTTTCAGTCGCAATGTTATTGACAACTTATCATTTACTGCAGGCAAATCAGCATGCGCAAAGACTCGTTGATCCTGTTCTCCCATGGAAATAGGACCTGAAATGAGTTCAGCCCACTCTTTGACGGCGAATTTTAGCATTATTCCTTTAAAAGAAAAATAAATAAATAAAAAAATAAAAATAAATAAATAAATAAATATAGATGATGAAAATAGATAAATTTAAAACATTAATAAAACAGTTACAAGTACCAGATTTTGTATACGAAAATCGTTACCATTGAAAAAAAATTCAAAAAAGCCATGAACTTATATATTATAGTCTCATGAATGTTGATCTTATAGTATTAGTAAGTTTCACAAGGGCTAAAAATTTACATTCAGTCGTCGTGTCACAAATATAAATTTTTTTATCAATTAATAAAAACCTACGTTATTTATACAAATTTATATAGTTTTAACCGAAATTATAATTTACATTAGAGCTAATGACAAAAAATTTTTTTTAAAATTAAACGTTTCAAACTTAATGCAAATTATATTAAATGAACTTAAATTGCTAGAGTATCCTGTTATTCTTTGATTAGTTTAAATTTTTTTTTTAATTTATCTGTTTGGTCAAATACATTCTCAACAAATCGATTCTAATCTATCAGATAGTAACCAATTTCACAATCTTCAATTGAAGGTTTATTACAATTAAAATAATTTTGAGGCTGAGGATTACTGGATTAAAATTTTTATTGAGGTTTTATCATATTTTGGTGAAATTAAACGAAATTGATATTTAACTTTTTATGGTATATTTTAGTAAAAGTAATTTTGAAAATTATATTGAGTAAACTGCTTTTAGCTCGACATCTTAGAATATTTCATGCATAAATGCATAAAGAAAATTTTGAGCTTTTTGAACCAATTAACTGGTGAATTTTAATTAGATTTTACAATTATTAAAATTCACATTGTATAATGAAAATTGATTGTATTGAGTATTTTCAACTTAAGTTATTGCAAATTCGTATTTAGTTAATTATTTCAATACGCCACTAAAAATATTATTATTATGAGAAAAAAGAAAGAATTTCATATAATAAATAATTGCATTTTTATTTGTACCTTATTATTATTTTCACTTCCATCCCCATAACAAGAAACTTCTTGAGTTCCATCACCTAATAAAATGGCGTTACTGTAAAGTGCTGGCTTATTAGTTCTGATATGGAAAAGGCTAATAATATCACCATTCATTAAATGACCAACGTCATAGGAAGTGGTTGAATTATAACGTCGAATAACCCAATCATTATTACTATCTCTATCCGAACACATGGTCACTAAATATTAAATTATAAATTGTTAATACATATAGTAGTAGTATAAGCTTATCTTCGATAATACCTTGTTGTTGTTTTGACATTGGTGTGACTCTCCCATAATTAGTACCATGAGAATTTAAATAACACCCTGTTGCTTGATGTTTAAATCCAATAATATTGTTAAGAGACACGGGATCCCCTTCTTTTATACTTATACCATTGGCTCCGATTATAGTCCAAACGTCATTTTTCAAATCTAATTCCTGACCATCACAAATAGCCTTTACAAATTTCATGAATAAACTTTATAATGTTAAATTTTTTTTTAATATAAGTAAGGAATAACGACGAAAAAAAATTAGCACATACCATATAGTGCTGGACATTTCGACCCAAGTCATATTTGATTCCTTTAGTGGATAGATATTTTCCAGTAGATACATGTGCGAGAGCGATTTTTGATCCATATACAATTGGCTTTTTCTGAGACTCATCCTTTTTTTTTTTTGAAAAAAAAAAATTAATAAATAAAATAAAATAAATTGTTAAGTAGTTTGTTTGTAAAAANATTGGCTTTTTCTGAGACTCATCCTTTTTTTTTTTTGAAAAAAAAAAATTAATAAATAAAATAAAATAAATTGTTAAGTAGTTTGTTTGTAAAAACTCATGATGAGATATTTCAAAGTAACTTACGAAATAATCTTCTATTACTTCTTCAGGGGATAGGCGCCAGTTGAAATAACGAACATTGCTATTTATATGAAAGGTTCATTCAATATTTTGTATTAAATTGAATTAAACTACTATACTTTAAATAATACCTAATTTCACCATTAAACCCAAGATAACTGTGAGCACGTCCAATATATAAAGGACCATCATTAAAAATAACTTTTTGCACTTTAATTTTCGAGATGCCATAGAATCCGATCCATTCACCATCTATATAAATATCTAATCTTTTTTCGGGATCAGAAAGTGTATAAGCTATATGGTACCATCTGTTCAATAAAAGTCCATCGTCAGGCTCATAAACTCCAACATCGGAACTCCAGTTGGCTGTGAATCGAGCATGCAGTGCAGATTTATTTTTCGTCAACTGGAGAAGTGGAGTGCGGATGAAATCTCCAGTACCTAATATATTTATTTTATTTTATTTTATGATCAAAGAACGCATCAGTTAAAATATATACAAGTCAACTATCAAATAGTCTTTATAAAAGTGTAATTAATCTTGCCTTTATGAAAAACTGCAGACCAATTAGAGCTATGATTGTGAATTTTTAGTCTTAACGTTATTGACAACTTATCATTGACTGCGGGCAAATCAGCATGCGCAAAGACTCGTTTATCCTGTTCTCCCATAGAAATAGGACCTGAAATGAGTTCATCCCACTCTCTGACTGCGAATTTCGGCATTATTCTTTAAAAAAACAAAAAAAATAATTATAAAAAAATGTTTCATTCATAATAGAAACAAATTTAATGATTGTATACAAGTATCGTTACCATGAAAAAAAAAACCTTTGTAAAATACGCAAAATGCTTATGAACCAGCCTTATATATTATAGTCTCGTGTTTGATGTATGTTGAAGATCTTACAATATTAGTAAGTTTCACAAGGGCTAAATCAACATGTAGTAGTTACCGGGAATCGTTTGACGTCACAAATCGTCACATCCTAAGCAACTTTACGCTTAACGATAAAATGGATAATTTCATTATTCTGCTTCAATTCCTTATAATAATAAATCCTTCATGTTAGCATATTTTTTACTTGTAGAAATTTCATTTTTTCATTTTTGACTAAAAAAAACTTTCCCAAATAATTCTGTTCCCGTTTTAGAAAAGCTAAAATGGCCCACCTTGAAAAAAAATCGACAAAGTTGAAAAATTATAATGCAATGTCAGATTACAAAAAGGATACGATTTGGACTTTCCCACAAGATTAAGAAAATATAAATAAATTTCATGACCGAATAATGTATCTGAAAAAAATTTATCATTAATATAAAAAAAGGTAGCGTACGTAGTAAGAAAAAAAAAATAGCTAATGCAGCTGTATCTGAATCATGCAAAATTTCTTTGAATATCAATTAAAATTTTCTTTTAACGTGAATTAATATAATAATAAGTAATCATCACGAGTTTAATTAAATTGGTAGTGAATTCCAATGAAAAATGTATATTTATATAATAATTCATATGTAAAAGTTACATTATATTAATTTTTTTCTTCAATATAATGAATATATTTCGATTTAACTTTAATATTTATTTATTTTATAGTGAAAGAAAAAATAAAATAAACTAATACGCAAATCTCAAAAAATTTTAAAAAAAAACCGAAAAACGTCCTAAAAAAAAACCATCCTCCGAAAAAAAAAAATAAAAAAATAAAAACTAAAAATATGGAAATTTGAAGTATCTTACAAGTAATAAAATCATACGAATAATTTGTATATAAAAATCATAATCAAAATGGTCAAAGTTTGATAATAAAAAATTTCAATTTTATGTATCACTGTATATTTCTCAAGGTCGGACCAGTGATAATTTATCAAAAGATATAATTTAGGATACAAGAAATAAAGTAAGTAACGTAAGTATTAATTGAATGGGTGCCATTTGATAGATTTGAAGATATAAAACAAATTGGTGTTGGTGGATTTGCCAAAGTGTATTCTGCAACATGGATTGATGGTAAAGCAAAATATTATAGACAAAAAGTTGTAAGTTGAAAAAAAAAGAGAACTTTGAATCTATGAAAGTTGCTTTGAAAAGGCTAAATGGATCACAGAATATGTCATCTGAGTATTTATTAAAACATATTGGAATTTTAGTGAAAACATATGGATAAAAAATGACTTATTTCTTAAAATTATATTTCATATGGAATTTCATAGTGGAATAATTTGAACTTTGACGTTATTTGCGTTATTTTTATATTCAATAAATCAATGAAGACAAAAATGGAATTTATATTCCAAATTTGGAAATCTCATTTTAATAATGTGGGCAGAGCAGATGTAACGTAATTACGTATCATCACATGCTTTTACGTTTGACGAAATCTACAAATCGAAAGAAAACAATAAGATCTGCAAAAAAATTTTTTTTTTTTTGCAGCCAAATTGTCGTACGGAACGATAATCGGAACATACTTACGTTCCATGATTATATAATCAAATTTGTAATGTAACTCTGTCAATATGTTACCTAACGCCCAACAGTAATACAATTGTCACGTGCCCAACTTTATTTTTCACTTAATAATTTCTTATGTAATATCAGAAATAAAAAATTTTATCTTTACGAAACTGCCGTATTCACTATTGGTGTTTCATATTGGTTGATAAACTACTGTTAGGTCAGTTCTTTTAGTGTTTACAAATGTAAACAAAATGAAAATGGTAAGCAGAAGGTTTATTAAAATAAGAAAGACAATAAACTAATACAAATAATCCAATCAGACATGAATAAAGTATAGCAACACTCTGGCATATACGATCAGACATGAATAAAGAATTAAACAATCATAATGATCCAATCAGACATGAATAAAGTATAGCAACACTCTGGCATATACGATCAGACATGAATAAAGGATCCATTAAAACCAAAATTACTTCATCATGATTACTAAACTAAACAACCTTGAGCGTCCTCCTCTTCTCACTTGTCTACAGCGTTGTATTTATATAAAATTAACTATATATTTTGATATAACAAAAATAATAGATAAAATAAACATAATAACTATATAATATATAACTAATATAACTAATAAATCATACATATAATATATAACAGATAAAATAAATATAACAGATAAAATAAACATATTAAATCTATCAACTATATATGATTTCCATGATATGTCATACATCTATGACATTCGTGACATTGATCTACATTGTTCATTTGTTCTACAAAATTGGTAGGATTACCAATCACGTGACACTACTATCAATTACGTCCCCAAATTTCAATGGTATACTTCAATTAAATCCATTTTTAAAATTATCTAGCCCACTCAATTTTGTAGTTGTCTCTTCTACTAAATCAAAATCATCTTCACCATTAGACGCTATTTTCACAGCACTTTCTTTAAATTTCGCCCAAATTTTTTTCTCCTCAGTATTCCATTTCGAATCTTGCTCATTAATTAAGAATTCTTTAATTCTAATTAATCTTTTTTCAAAATTTCCTGAATTTTCCATTTTAAACAATTTCTCAATTTCAGAATTTCAGTTAATTGAGCTTCCAACTTTCCTTTAAAATCTTTAAAAGTTTGATCGTTTACAGAAATTTCTTTTTTTCTTTGTCTAAAGTAATGAATTAGTTCGTGTTTATTTTTAAATAATATTTCTCTATCTTCATAGTACGTCTTTGCATGTTCAATAAAAATAGGTATTAATTCTTTATTTTGTTCCCAATACTTCAAATTTTTTTTTGGTTTTGCCATTTAATAAGCACTCTGCAATAAATTCCTCACAAGTTTTTTATTCTCTTGGGATATTAGTTCTGGATTAAAATGATCATTATAAATTTTTTTTTTTTTTCTGGTAAATACTATGATCAGAACTTGTATTAGTTCGGATAATTTTTAAGTTCATTACTAATTTTTCTTTCAACTTGAATTTAAGAAAAAGAAAAAAAATTTTTTTCTTATAAATTTTGGGTTTGTTATCATTGTTATCATCTACTAATCAAAAAAGTTCACGTTCTAGTCGTTCCACACTTTTTTAAATAAAAATAAATTACTTTTTAATTATGATGAGCTAGTTATTTTTTTTAAAACCAACTAATTGGGAAATACAAAAATTAAAATTAAAATTAGCAAATTTAATTTATTTAAATAAAGTATAATATACTACTTTTTAATTCATTTCGATAAAGATAAAATTATCAAGAAAAAAGAAATTAGGATTATATCATATTTATACAAGAAATCTTGATATTTTAGTGGAGCATCTACAATTGGCAACCCAATAAAACCTGCTTATTATCACCTTAGATGAATGTGTTATCTTTGATTTGAATTATTATCCATATAGTCATGAGCTAATGACTTATAAATGTTGCAACAGTTAGGTCTTCCTTGGTCTAAATAGTCCATCACATTTATTTAACTTACACAGAAATTAATGATACTATCATCAATCTCATCTTCTGAATCTAGCAAATATTGATACGGTGTCATCCTGTAAAGCAATATATATTATATTTAAAACGTGATTCACCGATCATGGAATGCGGCTATGTAATAAATCAACAATCTGACGTCGCCCAATATTAAAAGTTTTGAAATCAAATACAAAGTTATGAAAAAACCACTTCAATTAAGATGCGTATTGTAGGACCCCCGAAAAATACTGAAATAGGCAGGCCTGGCAGGGCGTAGTGATAAAAAAAAATAATCATATAAATCTTTCCTTTTTGGACAATCTTTGATAATGTTGGCCAAAATTTTATTTCTGTTTTAATAACTGACTGACACTAATAATTCCGGCCCTGAAAAATGCGTACAGCCAATAGTAATTTTTTTTGGTTGGACCTTACCTATTTTAATATTATTCGGTCCCCGTATTGTATTTACGAAAAGAGACGGCTGAAAATCTGCTTTTTTGCAATTTTCCAAATTTAATTAGTGATCGGCAAAATTTTGTCCATATTACATTGATTCATTTTATGTCACTGATCGACAAACATGTGGGATAATCAGCTGTTATCGTTCAGCCCATAGGATCATGTATATACTGTAATGCCGTAATATACCTAGTGAATTTATTAATTATGAGGCGCAGTATTATATTTAGAATTAGTATATAAAAATTTGGTATTTTAAAATTGTATTTTAATTGGTCCGAAATGACGTTAAACTATTGAATAAGAATTAATGAGAGTTACTAAAAATGATTTACATTTAAGGGAATGATCATAAAGTAGAAATGATGAACATTGTTTGTTTAATATGAGGTTAGTTTTGAAGCAACGCTTTTTATCGATATTTAGTCTTGAAGCAACGCTTTTTATCAATATTTAGTTTTGAAGCAACGCCTTTTATCAATATTTAGTATTGAGGCAACGCTTGATTCAACAAATCTCCATATTAAGGAAAATATAAATACCAGACTATTTTGACTTAATTAAAAGGAGGGAATAAAAAATTTTGAATAATTTTAATATTTTAGGATGAATATTTAACCGTTATTTAATATTGTTAAACCAAGCATATTATTGCATTTATTTATATTATTAATAAAGAATTATTTTGTTAGTATCTAAGGTGGCAACGTGACTTATCACGGGATTAGGTATTACAATACCAATAATTGTATGATTAAGTATTGTCTTGCTTCGGATTATTTTGTTTTCTGTTAATCTGAATTCATTTGTAGTTTAGGAAGTTTCAAATGGATTCTTTCACCAATAGTAATAAAAAGTTATTTAACTCATCACATATCAACGCTA